TGTCTTCATCATCTGAAGTCCCTTTTTCCTTTCAGCTCCAGGAGCTTTGATCCTCCGTACATTAAAAATAAATTAATCTTCACCTGGTGTTTTTGATGTTTTGTGCACTCTCTGTCTGTCTGCACTCTTTGCATTTCAACCATCCTTCCATCTAATTCTTCATATACCTCCATCCCTCCAGCTCGTCCAGAGCGGCTCTCTTCTATTCCCTCATCTCGCTGCTGACAGTGGCCTTCCTCTCTGTGGAAGAGCAGGGTCAGTGATGGACAGAGGTAAGGCACGAGGTCTACAGAGTCCAGCTAACACAGATGAAGACATAAAAAGCTGTCTTTCACTGCTCCCTTGCCACAAGGGGTCATTACAGCGGGTAGCTCTGCATGGTTGATATGGCAGAGTTTTTACACCGGATGCCCTTACTAATACAATCCCAAAGGGAATTTGTGTCGCTGGCTGAAATTTAACCAGCAACTTTTCACTCGCAAAGCAAATGTGTCAACCTAATAATATACCACTGGAGGCACCAAGTGATTACAGACACATAATATGAGAAATCTGGCTCTCAAAGAGTCCCAAATTGCAATCTGTGAGAGAATACTTTGAAAAGTCTTTAATCATCTTTTATTTAGACCTTAGTGGTAACCTTGGATCATGGTGTGGGCGTTAAAGAGGCTGTTTTTGAATGGTTTAAATCATATTTAACAGGCAGGCTGGGTGTTTTTTTTATTTATCTATCATCACCTTCCCTCACAGGTGGGATTCCCCCAAGGGTCCATTCCCAGTCCAGTACTTATTTCACTCTCTATGCTGCTGCTAGGATCAATTTTCAATAAATATGGAACTTAATTTCACAGCTGTGCAGATGATTCCCAAACATATCTGCTCCTTGAAATGTAAACCACAACCCCCTTGAAGGTCTTCTTGGACCTCTTTGATGATATAACACTGTGGATGACACTGAACTTTTTTAACCTGTATGAGCCGAAAATAAAAAGTGGTACTTTTTGGAGCCCCTAACCTTCACGCCTTCCTTAACAGTCATCTTGACCTTTTTAAAACACCCTTTTGCAAAGAAACAAATAAATGTTATCGTGTGAGCTCGTTTCTTTTTCTCCTTCACTGACTTTGAGAAAATAATTTATGGCTTCATTTTGTTTAGTCTTTATTCGTGCATCACCCTGTCTCCAAAACACTGTAGCTTGACTCCTGAAAGGCACACATTTGCTAGGCGAACGTGCAAACTAATGCTCTGTGGAGCTACTAATGAGACGTGTAAAATTCATCAACTCTCTGCTGTCCCAATAACTGTAGCACTTCTCTTATTAACATCAGTACAAAAGCTGTGCACTGGGAGCTTCGTAGCATATCATGTGCAGGAAGGCCAGTACTTTTGTCCACATAATGTAATTCAGTTGACTCGGGACTACTTCTACCTCTGGATTAATACACATTTGATGTTCTTGTTCTTATATATTCATAACTATTTTGTAATTATTCTTTCCTCTAGTGCAGGAGAAGGATGGTGTGTTTAATGGTAAAATTGTATGTGATTCAATGAAGTCTAATAAAGGCTTTCGAGACCCAGACACACTCATCGAAAGGATCAGTTGATTGCTACCGTAGGTTTCATGGACTTTACTGAGAATTCTCCACTTGATTGTAATCAAGAAAGCTGTAATTGTAGTTTTAGCTGGACTGACATTACCTTGCCTTTCCACTGTCCTCATATTCACTCACTTTCACATTACACAACTCACTATTCAGTTGCTGTAAACTGCAGATTTTTAAACTCCTTCAGCTGCATTTAGTTCAATTTCCAATGAGACGTCATTTTGATGGCTTGCCTCTTCTGTAATTTAATGTATTTCAAGGTGAAACAGGGTGACGTGATGGAAAATAATGCAAGGAAGGAGTTCGATCCTGACCTTGAAGACTTTTCCTCCAGAGTGAATAAATTCATTCAGCTTGAACACGCATGAAAGAAAGTAAATGCTAAAAAATGCTCTGTACTTTGCACCTTGGAAGTTTTAATACTGCACGTTTCCTAGAAGATTGAATTTATGTGGGAAAGATGTTAATTTAATGTTCATTTACATGTCGTCATCCCCCCCCCCCCCCCAAAAAAAAATCAAAAAAAAAAAATCCAGAAACTTACGGTTTTACTGTAATATCAGTAAATAGCTCATAATTTGACATTTTTAATGAAGATTTAGACTCAAGATTGCTGTTCTTCGTTGTGTTTGATCTATTATAGACTTAAAATATTCACTTTAAACAGTTAGTTTAAATACTTAGAACCAGTTTTAGGTTCCCCCTGAATGGCTTTAAAGCCCGTTCAATGCATCAGAGTAGTGGTATTAATAAATCACTATGTGTTTGAGCTCTGCATGTGTCTCAGGGGTTACTTTTCTGATTGATTTGACTCTCACTCTGATTCCTGACAGCGACTCAGCCTCTGCCTCACCCCTTCCTGCTCCCGTGCTGCCTTCCTGAACCGCTCCCCGTGCCTCGGGCTCTCCACGGCCCTTTCCCCGTCATCTCCACCCCTGCACGGCCAGGAGTCAACCTGAGGGAGCTGGGGGAATTGAGCCTGAACGCTCGCTGGCTGCACAAGAGCCCCGCAGGGTGGGATGTGAACCAATACGTCAGTCGGAGCCTGTATGAGGGAGCGAAGCAGACCCAACTTCGAGATGAGGAGAAGGCAGCAGGGAGACGGTTAGAGTGACAAAGAGAAAACAAGCTGCAACAGATGGACTGCTTTCCCTCCTCAAATCTCTCAAACACAAGCTTTTTTGTGTGTTGTTTGAGCTTGTTGTACAATAGTTTATTATTCACTACCTGTGGTTTAAAATGCACAGACTTTGTGGGCTATTTATTTAGTTGGACCATGTTGTCTTCTTCTTCTTCATTTTTTTATTTTTTATTTTGCATAGAAATATTTATGAATCCTGCTTTTCTTCTGTCAGCACTTCACGCCACAGTAGGGGGAATGCACTTGTAAACAATTAACTACATGACACTTGTGTTTGGGTAAATAAAGCAGTGCACTCAGCTTGCATTATTTAGCTGTTTGTCTAGCATTTCACCAGCCCCCTGCTCCAGGCTTCATGAAAATAATACGAGCTCCATAAATGATGCATTCAAACAGGCCCAGGGAAAATCCTCTTGAAACGGGGGCTTTCGTGTAGTCTTTGCAGTGTCATTTCCAGGAGCCGGTGTTGTTGCAGTTACCACCCCGACACAACAGGGGGCAGTAGCGTCCTTGACAACTCATGAACCTTTCACTACACCCCATTTTCCCGGGAGAGCGCCTAAGCGGAGAGATGTAAAACAGAAGAGGTGCCACTCTGATCAGTAAAGATAGTACGCGTTATATTTGAGCTACTATTTATTTTTCCTGATATTAAGTTGTAGATTTTTTAAGGGGTGTTGTTAATATTGCTCTAAAGCAACATTATGGAGCCTTCAGAGGAATCTACATTTGAAGCATTTTGTCACTTTTTGCTTATATTTTGTTGCATTTAAGTTAAGGTGTTGTTTTTCAAGATATATTCATTTGTTTATTATATGTGTTATTTTTTTTCTTGGAGCATTCACTTGTACTTCTTTATGTTAAAGGATGGGTATGGTGCTATTACTGATCTGGCCTGCTTGGCATAAAACTGCTGGATGAGATGTTCCCTTTCTAAAGCTTGCAATGACAATAAAAAGAAGCTTAGACACACTCGGGCCATTTTTGTTCTCTTTTAGCCCTGTAACCTTTAAAACTCTTCTTAACTGTAATTTTAAGATGCTGTTTTGTCTATTATTTGGCTTTCAGTGGAAAGCATTTGACAAATGGCACATTCTCTGAGTACTGTCTTTGCTTGGCGCGTCTTGTAGTTGGAGATTACGACACACTCGATGGGCTTGTCCAGTGTGAATGAACTCATTTTTTATATATCTCAAATATCACATCACTTTTTGAGCTACTCTTCATGTAAAACTCAAAAATGACAAAGAAAATGACTGACTAAAATTGGGGAAAGCTGTTTGACATTCACTTTCCACCACTTTCTCACAGTTTTATGTGTATTTCTTTTACTTGTGGTAGTCCACTTGTAACTTTGTGGTTAATTTGGTGACACATTAACCATCAGGACACTCTGGCCCTTCAATAAAAGCCAAGCTTTACTTTTGAATATTACGGATTGTAATAAGTTGAGAAATATTTTCTGAATATCTGCAGAAATGAGATTAAAAAGGCTGTGCAGATCCCCATACAGAGGGCTCATACTATCTTTAAAGAGGGGTCGACACCCCTGGTTTGGAATGACTGTAGGTTTTCAAACCTTTTTTACCCAAGATCCACCAAAGGTCGAGGCAAAATGTCAAGGCTCATATTCATGTCACTAAAAAAATAGCCTCTATCTCTGCTGGTTCTGCTGTCAGATCAAGCCCCCTTTACTCTGCGTTGCTCTACCAGTTTATATAACTGGCATTCACCTCCTTATCAGACTGACCCTGGTTCCCTCATGCCTTTTTAGCTTGCTTGGCACCATTTTGGCAGTGTAAATTGCAGACTTTAAAAGTGTTTTAGCTTTTCAAAATGTTCTCCTCCTCATTATGAGTCATGGCCTCTGATGTGTACTTGCTGGGAAGACTGAAAAACACCAGGAATTAAATTCAGGTACCATTTAATACAGATTGCATCGGGAAACATGCAGCCATTGCAAGAGAAGTCTGACAAAAAATTTAAAGTACTATTTTTTATATACCTGCATGAACATAGCAAACCATTAGCTTTGTTATATTTTACTCATCTTGTCCATTCCATAGTGAGTTGTATACTATCTTAACAGTAGCGTAGAAGCTTTGACTAAGCACAGTCACATCTTATTAGTAGCAACAGAGTAGTTTTATTCAATACATGTTGTGTAGCTACAGTAAAAATATATTTTTCTTTGGGTAAACCAAGTACGTGAGTGCGCATGCGTACCGAGCGGAAACCGCTCGCTTTGGGCTCCCGTAGCGAGTCATCTTCTCCTCTGACAATCTTTGGCTGAGATACAACTTTTGGCGCCGAATATTCCAAGTTATTATTTTGCCCCTCTGCAGCGCGGGAGTTGGTGTTTTCGTGTGTGTGAATGTTGGCGTTTTGCTGCGATTTAAACGTTTGTTTTAACCGGGTATCAGGTGAAGGAAGAGTTTAAAAACAACATGCAGCGGAGCATCGCGTAAGTGCAAGCCAAAGTTTGCAGTTAGCTTGGTGGAAATTAGCGCTAGCTTGACGATGCTTGTGTCTGTGCACTAGAAGAGTTAGCTGTGTAATGAGTGGTGATCAGGCGGGCGGGCGGGGGGTTATGTGTGACTTACAGGGGGTTACACTAAAAACAAAAAAACAAAAACATGTCCGTTTCGGTGTTAATCGGACTACCTGTAAGCTAGCTTTAGCATGTTTTTATCTGCGTCACTTGTTTGGAAAATAGGGTAGTTTTATCTCCAGCACAGACACAGACGATATCATAGCTATATAAGTATAAATGATCTTTAAAGGCAGGTTATTTTCCTGCCTTATAGAGGCTGTGATCAGTGGAGCCACATTGCTCTAACACTAGATAGCAAAGATGGTAATCTGTGATTCAGCAAGTTTCTAATTAACAGGCAAACCTTTTTCTGTATTATTGTAAAAGTGCGGTCTTATTACCGATTTTTATTACACTTTAATGCACTAAATACAGACACGTGTTGGTATAAACATGTATCAAGCCAGTGAATGCTTGTGTGGTCTTTTTACAGATCCTTCTTTCAGCCCAAGAGCAAGGACATTCAGAAGAAAGCTGCAGAGGAGCCTGTGAAAAAGTGAGTTAAGACTTATCTAGAGTCTGCTGCCTGGAATCACTGTTAATTTAGCTTTGACACTGGGGTGTTTTAAATCTCTCAGATCAATTGAATTAATCTAGACACAAATTATAGTTTGACTCCACATGTAAGCATGCCTGGTCTGTATATAGTTCAGGCAAAGAGTAGGTGTTACCTTATTTAACTAAAGCCTAAAACCTGGAAACAAAAGAGTTAAAAATCATGATCCTGGTGTCAGCTTTGATGTATATGTATGAAAATCCTGCACCTCTTTGTTTTCTTTAAGCTTTGAACATGCTCGTGCTACTTCTGTGAGGATAGATCAGTTTAAAACCTCAGGTTTACCTTACATAGTAATTGCTTGGCCCAAAAAGTCCCATCTTATTCAAAGAATGAAGATTCAGACTTTGCATAACGTGATCACGGTGCAGTCAGTTAAAACTTCTGCATTGGCGGCTGCTGCTGTAAAACCTCGACTGTTTAAACATTATACCTTTTTGTTAAACCTTCAGAAAAACCCTTTTGTATATCTTTTCTAATTAGACTTTTGTTCGTTAGTTTTACTGTGGTTATTTACACCGGTTTCTCTTTGTTTCTCATCTTAATTCAAGCCACAGCTGAGTGTCTTTGATTTTTAATAGAGGTGCAAATGCACACCTATTTCTGGCACTTGTACTGGGAAAAGGACTGCAGAGCAAAAGTAATAACTGTTAGTGTTTTTTATTAATAGTTATTGTCTCAGATGTCTTGTTTTCATAATAGTTACATAGCCTGAACTTAGAAGAGTTGGCTTTTGTTTTAGTGGAGTTTAATGTACTCATTCGTAACATAGTCACTGCATCAAGGCCAATTTTGAACCCTTAAAACTTTTAATTGGGCTGCAAATTTCCTTATACTTGGACAAACAGGGCTATTTTAAGGAATAAACCACATAATAAAACTGTCATATTATCAGAAGGATGGAGATTTTTACTGCCTATAATACAGTTAAAATACCTGCATTTGTATTCAGGCAGAAGCATAAAGCGAGGTGGCTGATACGGCGCATACTGATACCATTTTCAAACATATTTTTGTGTTGAAAGCCCACCCACGCTAAGCGTATGTGCAGTTATCTTCGCTGCTGAGTGAAACGTTGTGTCCAGTTGTTCCTATCAAAAGATGAAGAGACGAGAACTTCAGTTTCTCATCTCCGAGCTGCTTTGGTGATAAAATGTTCATTATCTCTAGACTCTTTAATCTTTTAAGTACGTCTTAAAACTCACTTTAATTGACTTTCCTTTCATTGCATCATTGCTTTGACCTCTTTTTACGAGTCTTACTTTGATTTTATAGGTTTTCTTTTTATGACAGATTTTACTGTTGACTTGATCCTGTAAAAATGCCTAATATCGCACCTTGTGGGTCAACATTACCACATGAATTAACCTTAAAGTGTTCTTTTATGCTTTTCCTTGTTTTCTGTTATTAATATACTGTTAAAATGGTGGCTGTTTATATCAAATACAATTAGAGTTTTGAATAATAAAGTCGGCGTTCATGTAAGTAGTTCCTGTAAACCGGCTCTTTAAGCCTTCTGTTTGTGATGGGCGATCAAGTCTCCTAAAGGTGGCCTTTTTAAATATTGCGAGTTTAAAACAGTTTAAAACTTAACAAGTTTAAATGAATTTGTCAATATTATATGAAGAAACAATGGCTTTATGTCCTAAATATCTACAGAGAGAAGATATTTTAGCTCAAGTTGAACAAGGGCTGCACTGTACTTTTATCTAATACTCTGTAAAGGTTTGTGTATTCAGTGTATCTTTAGCAGTCAGGCAGGTTATTAGTGCTTGTTTTTTAGCATAGCAAAAGACCAAGTCTGTTGAGGAAATTAGTGTAGCTTAAAAAAGAAGTATCACAGTTTCACATATCTGTAAACAATACACAAGTTAGCAAAAAATACTGCCCCCTGGTGGTCACAGCTTTAGTTAAACTTTGCAGAAGCTCATTGCAAAGTGTACCTTTAAAAATATATAAATAAATGTAAAAGGAGTGGGAGACCTGAAACAGCTTGTTTCAGACAGATGATGAGCTCCAAGGTCCAGGTGAAGCTAAACAAACGGGGTCGAGTGTAACCAATGACCCGATTGGTGCTATACTGCACCCCCTGTTTGGGTCAGTGATGGCATATGGCATGTCCAGCGTTCAGCTGTAAAGCACACTGACTAAAATAAACCCTGAATGACGAATACTTATTTTTCTTTGTTTGTTTTTTTCAGTGTTTTCACATTAAAATGTAAATAAGTCATCAAACAAGCTGTTTGCACAGCTTCTCTCGCACAGCTGGTCCCCTCTCTCTTGGAAGCAGTTATTCCAGCAGCAGAGTCTTTATTAATTTTAAAGTTTTAGTTGCTGATTATTTTATACATATAGATTATCTCTAACTATAATAAATAAAGTCTCTTTCTGTTTGTTTGTGAATTCTTTCTACACAAGCAGTAGTTAAGTATCCAGACTTCGTACACAGATGCATCTTAGGACCCTAAAGGTTTCCATCTATATCATATCCTATGTTGTCATCGTGATGTCTGGCAACCACCCACCAAAAATGCTTAATTGATCTATAACACTTTATAAAAGCATCATTTTAATTCTGTGATGGTGACATCTGATTTATCACAATACATATTATATCATGATGCTATGCAGGTTGCCTGGCAACCACCTAACAGTGGATTACAGTGACAGTAGAGCAGGGCATGCACCGTTTAATATAAAATTTATTTTGATTAAAAAAACCGGCCGTGTTAATGTAGATTCATTATTTATAAATAATAGGCTATATAATATGTTGACCTGTGAATCATGCAAAGCTACTCAAGTAAAAGCACAGAATAAAAAGTATTGAGATGGAAATAAGCCCAATAGGTCCCCTTTAGTGCTTTATTTAAAATTTGTGATATCTGTTGTGTGTTTCTGTGGTTTATCTCCAGGCCTGTCAAGAGTCCACTGAAGGTGCAGAACGGTGTTCAGGAAGCAGAGTCGCCCATCAAGAAGGTTGTGAAACGCTGCCGTCAAATCCTGGACAGCGATGATGACGAGGCGCCAGTCGTTAAAGAACAAGTTCCCAGCAAGGGACAAGGAGACAAAGAAGCTCCTGGTAAAACAGAAAAGGTAAAAGCGACATGTGGTTTTATAACTGGGACGTCAGAGTTCATTTAATCTGTTGCATTCAACACATCAGCTGCAATTTGTGAGTGACGTTTTCACCAATAAAAGACTGACAGATTGATGGGATGTCATGGTGCTAAAGAAAAAAGCAGGCATGCTTTGTAGAAACACTAAACAGTGTGTTACCCATCAAATGCTGAACGAGTGTAATGAAGTCTCTTAGGGCTCCTGTAGGCATATCAGTGCCTATTGTTGGTTTGGTTATGGGGAAAAACAATGCTACACAAAAGCCTAGTAATTGTATGGTGAATCACAATGTTGAATACATTTGTCAATAAGCCATGTAATGAAAAGACCTGATTATCAGCTTTGGCTGTCTTTCAGCCACCTGTTGTTTGATAAACACTTCACTTAACCAGCCTGTTTATTTTGTTTGTTGTATGTTAGCAATTATTCACTATTTGTTGATTGAGGGAAGTGATTATGATGATACATGATGTTTGTCAGGCTGCCCTCACCTCACATCCCTTTCATATGGGTGTAATTATTAATTTTTTGTGACAAGGTACTAATATATCCACTCTTGCACTCTTGGCAGTGGAGCAGCTCCCCCGCAGATAAATGCAGGGCAGCGACTAAAGATCACTTTCATCAGTAATTAATAATCTGATTTGTTATTAGTCTATAAAATGGTAAATGAAGTGTCAAAATACCTTAAGTAATCTTGTGATGCCAAATTGTTTGTTTGCTTGATAATAACTTGGTAAATAATACATTTTCTGCACTGTGCAGTATGGTATTGAACTACTTATTGTTAGGGTACATGAACATTAGAAATAGCCTGCAATGTTGGAGAAACAGCATGTTTTCTCAGGAAACCCTTCATGTGAACGCCACCTTTCCTTCTTAATTTGTAGTGATATGGTTTTATTTGAATCCAGATGTTTAACATCATTAGTTTGCTTGATTTAAATGTAGTTTTTGCTGTTCCAGCTCTTGATGGTCGATGCTTAATAATGATCCGGTTTGCCTTTCTACAGCTACCCCTTGCTGTGGCAGAAGCTGGCTGTTTGTGTTGCTCTTGGCTTTCTGTTTTGACTTCTTCGCTCTTTCCAACTATTATTATATTTTTTTTATGTTGTTGAGGCCAGTTGGTGGGAGATGTGACCAATTCAGTGAGCTGCTGGTGTCTTTATAAAGAAGGGAACCTTCAGCTGGGGAAAGGGGATGAAAATAGTTTAACAAATGATTTTTATTTTAATGTGATTGTTATGTGAAATTAAACACTGTTATTCACGTGTTTATGACTTTTTAACTGTTCAGAATGGTTAATGTTCAATATTGATCAGGTTTGCTTTTATCTGTTTGTATTGATTTCTTTGCTAACGTTCCAACTCCTTTTTAAGACTTCTATTTTTGAGTTTTTATTCTGAGGGAAGTTGGTGGGAGACCAATTCAGTCAGTCCATCTCCAGACTTAAAAATTCCCTCCTCCGTGATGTAAACTAGTTTTAAAGCATATCTCCAGTACCATTGTTACTTATAATGATTAGACAGTATTTATTCATGTAATTATTCTTTTTTTTTTTTTTTGCTGTTGTCAAACGAATTGATGTTCAGTATTGATCAGGTTTGCTTTTATCTCTTGCTCTTAGCTTTCGTTTTCACCGTCTGTGCTATAATTATATTTATAAAACATATCTCTCCTTTGAATGTAATACAGAACATTTCCATAAAATAAGGAGTGGAAAATTTGAATCTCAACAGAAATCTCCATGTATTTCATTAATGTCAGTAACTATAGTATTTGCCTTTCTCTTATCTTTAATGACAGCAGCACTTAATCCAAAAAACTGATTACCTCAGCCTCGCTATCACCATTTCACAAGGACCTTATTGTCAAGTCAGGAGTGGTGCGTTGACAAAAAAGTGCACAGAAAACGTCATGCATAAAGGGCCATCTGAGGCAATAGAAAGTCAAGTGACTGGACCTGCAAAGTAAATGGGACTCTGAAGTTAAACCATTAGCATTGAGACTAAAGGATAATGCTATTGAAGCCAACAGGATGAGGAGGAGTTCAAATGAGAGCTGTAAATACATTTCTCTCACTTTTCTCCAACCTCTCTTTGTTCCTTTGCGCTATATCAAAGTGAAACTGAACCATACAGCTACAGCTGCCCTCAAATAGCATCAGTAAGCTTGTTCTCTATTTTTGATTGTCAGTGTTGTGAGGAGAATCCCCGCTGATGGGTGCTTTGTGACAGCATGAAGCAAAATTTTCACTGAAGTTTTTCATCTGTTTAAATTGCTGCAAACTCTGATTTCCTCTGTCAGCTTTACCTGGTATCTATTCACCTTGGTTCACCTCATTTCATAGAGTTTGTTTGAATGTAATGTACCCTATATAGACGAAGGTATTAGGTAGAGCAGGGCAATATGACCAAAAATATTTTATCACGATATACATTTGAAAATTTGCGATAACGACATAACGACGATATAATTGACACTAGACAAAATACTTTACAACTCCACAACTTTATTAGTGCAAAAAACCCCATCAATGTATTTTCACTTAAACAAGCAGCTGTTTTTTATGTGTGTTAAAGTTATATAAAAACGTAACAGTGCAAATTCCTTGCTGACAGTTTAACCAAAAGGCATTTCCAGTGGAAATTGGCCGACATATCCTCAGCATAACCATGTATAATATCCACAAAACTTAAAGAGAGGTTATACACACACAATACGGTAATATTATGTCGAAGCACAGTACGTATCACTCCGCGAGGCGCCTGCCTACGATAGCCGTAATGCTCCGACAATCCATCAAGCAGTGCGGGTTCGTAGCTTAGCAAAGTCGTACTAAAACATTTGACAGATTTTCGCCGTGTACCACATAAAATCGTTTCGAGGTCAGTAAACACAACCAGAACTCATACATAAGGCACATAAAGGATTATAAGGGGCTCTGTCGATTTTCAGAAAAATCAATCAATCAATAAACTTTAATGTTACTGCCATAGATTCATCAGTACTTTTTTTTTTTTGAGAGGAGGGGGGAGGTCGATCTTTCACTGTGTTTGTTTTTTTTTTTTTTTTTCTTAACCTACCCCAACCATTTCACCTTGTTTCCCCCTACAAGATGTGATTTAGAGACCCTTCCATCCTCTGAGACTATTGCTAGACGGCCTTCTCTTGACAGGACTGTTGCTGGAGGGAGTCTTGTGTTCTTTATTTAGCTAATTCTGTTATCTGTGACTTTGCTTCTCTGTTTCTCAGAGAACAAAGCCTTTCGTATTGATCTTCTCTCAGTGCGCTCACTTTTCCTCGGCCTGATCGTGCTTTGGATTCAGCTGATCCAGTTTCCACAGCGGTCCATGCTGCCCTCTTGCAAACCTTCACTCTAGTCTTGATTTGGAGCCCTTAGAGCCTGTCTTGGATCAGAATAACCATTTTTACTTCTAAAACTTCTAATTCTCAAGCCATGCCTTCCATTATCACAGTGGTGTTTAAACCCCTTTTAGAGATTCACTTCTTACCATAAGTCTGGTGCCTTCTAAACATGTTGGCTTCATGTCTAAATGAGCACCTGTGTTAATTTTTATGAGCTACTAGGTCAAAATATTCTTCATCATAAAGATTTACAAAAGTCCTAAGATGGGTCCTAAAAAATCTTGAAGGATTTAAGGATACTTTTAAAGCATAGGTTATTGGTTGCCAAAACGTAGTTCAAAAATTAGAAACTGCATGTCTTCATCAAATTACTTTATTTCACATTCAATAAACAATTTCAGCAATAAAAAACTAAATAATACACAGTACTCGTATTCCTCAGCAGAACAGGCCACATTTTGGATGAGCCACACAAACAATCCACAGCGATCCAAATGATATTGTTGCAGACAGCTGGACAATTGTTGCTGTCACTTCCTTTTCATTTTCAGTAATATCTGTGGGTGATGGCGGCCATGCAAACAAACCATGATCTGCAGTCATTTTGCCTGTTCAAGCTGTTGTTCATGCCGCCTCTTGTCATAATGCTTACCATCACTCGTGCTTGTGTCTTTCAGAAGGATGATGCGTTTAAAGCCGTTCCCACCCCCCTGTCTCCACCATCGACCCCAGCCACGCCTGTAACCCCGACCACCCCTGCCACTCCAGCCACCTCTGCTTCACCGGGGACCCCCAGCACTCCCAATTCCGTCTCCCCCACTGGGATCGTCAAACGCAAGACTGGTCAGCATCTGAACAGATTTTTATTAACTTTGTCTTAATTAAGCTGTTTCAGAATTGTGCTTTTCAGCTCGTTTTCCAAACTTGCACCATTTTGAACTTTGACACCAGCAGAGGATTAATAGCTTTCCTGCCTCGAGCTGTTTTATTTGATTACTTGTTAGCAGGCGCCTAATGGCTCCAAATACTCATTATTTCACAATGAGGGAGAAAACAGGAAATTTATCTCGAACTGAATGCATAAGAAGTTTGTTCACCAGAAGCGGCGAAGTTCATTTTTCACCCTTTTCTTTCATTTGTCTTTCCACACTCTGGACTGCCTTAGATTGACAACCACAAGACTAGACCGTGATTGCGCTATCATTAATCATCATCTGCTGCACCATGAGTACACCCTCCTGGAGCCTATATCATTATTTTTCTGCACGTCTTTGCACTGTGATAATAATATTATTACTGCTATGTTGTCTTAGCAGTGCATCGTTTGTGCTGACTGGGAGTTAATCGAACCAGCAGAGCATGTCGTCCTATTATTGCAGCTGATTGTCAGTGTTTATTTGGGTGCTTTCTTGGGTTTGCAAGCTTTAGAAACTTTGGGCTTTTTTAAAAAAAAACAGCCTAAACATATGTAGTGATCATTATTTTATAGCCGCAGTTGGTACACAGCAGCTTGAATGTTTCACATCTGCAAGATAAAACTGAAAGAGAGCTGCTGTTTCTTGTTTGTAAATTCTTAATCAGATGATGTGTAAATATCTGCATTTAAAATGAAACAGAATGGCCTAGTTATTTATTTTTTTTACATGGCTCTTTGTCGTTGCTGTCTTTCCCATATAACACCAGATACGTTGGAGTTTGAACAGAGAATTTAAGCTGCTTAGAGTTTTCTAGCATTCCAGCTTTGTCTTCATTTGAGAAGCACCTCCTCTCCCACTTTGTTTCCTTCATCCTAGTTTTTGCAGCAGTAAAAGTGTCTCGTTCTCTTCTCATCGTCCCGTTCTCTTTGTCTTTGATGACTGCAGTGTTTGCTTTCACCAGTGGTGCGTTGCCACAATAAGAGCCCCGCCACCATCACTGCTGGAGAAAACATCACATTAAAGTAACTCCCTAATTCGACCAGAAATTGCATTCTTAATGTCCTGGGTTAATGCTTTCATTATAATATCCAGAAGAAAAACATCAGCACTGCTACCTGTGCTAGAACCTCTAACAAGGGCCAAAACAGAGGCGGATGTGTTACCAAAACTGAAATTTCCCTCGAGCACCACTGCTGCATAAAATTGCAGGGTAATTTACACTGGGACTGTAAGCTGCTGTGCTGCATAATATTCTTCAGGATGGAATTAGTGTTTTCATTAGCAAAGTATGTATCTATGATTCTCTCTCCCTTTTTTTTCTCCTTCTTCTTCTTGCCCTACATCTGCAGCAAGAGAGCAGACTCGTCCTGTTTTCATCTCCTTATTCTCTTACTGTTTGATCCCGGCATGATTTCAGCTGGGATGCCTCCCACTTTTTTTTCCTTTCTTTTTTTAAATCATGTTCTTTTAATGTAATGTCTGTCCTGATATGTGCAGCAAGGAAGATGTTCCCTAAGAGGAAGCTCAACGAGAGTGGGAGTGGCAGTGACAGTCAGAAAGAAGAGGCAGAGGTCAAGGAGGAGCAGGGTCAGCAAAACAAACGGCCACGTGTGGAGACCAGTGCCAGCGGTGAAGGTATGCTTTCGCTTCTGCTGCGAGTCTGATAACCAAGTTTGGCTCCTGTACAGGTTTGGAAAGTCCACGTGGGAGGGGAAGTTGCACAGACACATCGGCTATAAGGGAGAAAAAAATCAGCATGCTATATTAACAAACTCGCACATTATCATTACTAAAATGCAGTTTTGGAAACTCTCAATTGCATCCTGACTAAACACATAAACAATACTTTTTGTTTAGCAGTGTCACACTACCAAACAGCTTATTTTCTTGCTGTACATGGTCTCATCCAGCCATTTGTTTCCAGAAATTTTATGGCCGATTGGGTTGCAATAATAAAGAGCAACAACTTGGATAATTAATTAGATATTAATCACCAGGCAAGCACTTTTCAGTTCCAGCTCCGCAAATAAGTGTTTCCTCTTTATTGAATCATGAATTTGAAAGATTTGAAGTGAAAGATTGAACATTTTCATTGCTGTCTCTGCTGTCACAGGGCTCTGGTAAATTGTGGCATGTGTTTTGTTTCATCATGGCCTTTTTCTCTGAGCTTAACGATGAGTGGAGGAAAACAAAAAAAATGTAGCCTATTGAATCAAACAAAGTAATGTCTAGTTGTAGTCCTATAGATGTATGTTGTTCAGAGAATTCTGGTACAGTGACGAAGTGACAATTTCTGATACTGACAGATAATCTCAAACAATGCAGAAGTGTATTTCCTTTAGTTTTGACTTGTGGTTGAGGACAAAAGCGAGTCACACCCCACAGGATCCCACACAGTTTATGGATGTCCACTTCTATCCGGGCCAGCTAATGTTAGTTCATAACTTAATGCTCAATTCTCTTCTGCAAATAAAGGGCTAAAAATAGTGAAACAGCCTTCGTGCTAAAACTGGATTACATAGGAGCGTATATGTTCATCTTTTATGTACAGACTACTGCGAGCATGTTAAACTCATTTTACAGCTCCACTAGTTGTAGTTTAACTACACATTTAATCCCTGAGATATCTCAGTATAACAAAAAGAAGTGCAATTTCAACTGTATGTCTCAGTTTTGAGAAATGCTTATGAAGCATATGAAAGAAATCTGTCAGCACATCTCTTTGGATTCAAATAAATAAGAAATTAAGAAGATTATGTAAGAAATTAATATTTCAAATGACAGAAAATGTTTTGGTAGCTCATTGTCCAGACTGTCCCGTGATTATAAAACAGAAACTTTTTGTTAATTTACAGAAAATGTCCTTTTTGTTCAACTGCGTAGTGACTTTACTATAGAAATGTATGTTTTTTTTTTAGATGATGAAAAAAAGGAACTTGTTGCCATTTAATTGTTAATTTATTACTTTACTGTATTACAGAGATGTATTACGAATGACCATGAGGGAAGTCTTTATCAATAAAAAAATAAAAGTTGCAAAACTTTTGAAAATATAATTAAAAATAAAAAAATTATGCCCTCCTTTACCTTTCCTTATTCGGTGGGCCGATTCTGGCCCCTGAGCCTTATGTTTGACAGTCCTAATCTACTGTTATAGTGAAGTGCAAATGGAGAGAAAGGCAACAAAAACAGCCTGAGATTCAAAGGATTGAGGATAAAGGGTAATGATTTCAGTCTGTTACTGCAACTGTAGGAGCTCTGCACTGTGATAAAGCAAAGTTCATTTTTACCATCTGTGAGATGCAAACTGAGAAATTCACCATCCACGGAGCCTGTTTGGCTTTGTTTAATCGGTTTGTCTAAGTTTTGACACAGACGCTCAATAAAGGCAGAATTATGTAGAAAATGGAGCAGCCCAAGAGTGTAGCAGCCTCCACCAGGGCTGAAAATTCACTCCAAAACGTGCATAAATTGATATTAGTCTGTGATATTTTCTTGAGAAGATGAAGGCTATTCAAACACGATGCAATGTCCAGTTTTGCCCTGTCTCACAATTATAAGCAGTCCTTCTAAATGGCCCTGAGTTCAGATCTAATTAATCCTTAGATGTGCTAAATCCAGCTTCTCACAAGATTTTTAAGTGAGTCTGTCCGTTACCTTTTTGAGTAGTCCTCCTAACACACGAGCAAACAAACTGAACCAATCACATCACCAGAGCTAAAAGGTTAGAAACAGTCTCAGAGCGGTTCATTCCACATGTGTTCTCACTACTGCAAATACTCTATTTGGTCTAGGTTAGGTTGCTGCATAGGTAGAGCATCTTGTACTTTCTCAGCGTGAATCCACATGTGGTCAGTCACACATCACATGCAGTTTAAATCTGGGAAATGGCAGGTTAAAGGCTCGTATTGGACAATTGAGAAAGAGCTAAACAAGGTTAAAGCTGAAGTGTGTTTGAAAACCACTTTAGTGTGTTTGGGGGAAAAAACAAAACCAAATTGACAGCAGCTCAGCCTGGTGCCCCCCCCACTCTTTTTTTTCCACAGACAGGGAAATGGCTCTCCTTCTCTTTCTAAAGTTGTCTAGTAAAGTACCAGCTGTGACTACTGGGTTTAGCGGTCCATTCCACCACTTACTTTAACGTTTGAATGAGAAAATTAAAGTTTCATGCCGCCCTCCTTACCCAGCCAGTATCATGACCCCAGCTCTGACTGCTGGGAGTCGGTGCTACAAGTTTGTCAATAGTAATTTCTCTTAGCTGCCTTCTTCAGGTGAAAATGAAACCTCAGAAATAAAACCTGCGGCATTTACTGAAAGAGGCTCTTACGTCTTCAAACATGGGCTCACAAAAAAACTGGGTTGCCCTCAGTAAACCTGCTGGCATTTTTCTCTTCAATGACTCCACTCCCTTTCTGTCTTGCCCCTGTGTAGGTAACGCAGATGAACCCATGGAGGAGGACACAAAGGAAGAAAGGGGGGAAAAGGCAGCGACCGAGGCTAACAACCCAGGGGACGAGGAGGTGGAGAACAAGAGCAAAGAGGAAGAAACTGTAGAAAAAGAGGAGCAGGTGGAGAAAAAGAGCCCTGATGAGAAGGAGGAGAAAGCTGAGGAGGCGGAAAAGAAAAATGAAGCAAAGCCGAAGACAGATGATGATGATGATGAGAAAGGGCCTGCCGTAGCCAAAACGGAGGTGGTTGAAAAGGACACGCGAGGCACAGAAGAGAGCCCGAAAAGTCAAACGGTGAAAAGGCAGAAAGAAGCAAAAGAGCAGAAAGATAAGGAGCCGACCAGGAAAGCCCCCATCAGCAGTTTCTTTGGTGAGAAGGAATTTGCATAGTTCTTTACTTGCATAAAAAAACAGCATGTGAATGTACTGTGCTTTTATCAGTTTGGAGAACAAGGTAAAATAAGTCTCCACTTCAACCCCTGCATCACCCTCACCTTGTCTTTTATTTATTTCCTTCAATAGCTCCCAGAAAAGCAGCAGTGAAGACGGAGAAGCCGGAGAAGAATGAGGGGGAAAAAAAGACGAGTCCAGAGAGGAAGAGGTCAGAGGAGGAGAGTAAAGACACGAAAGGGTAAGACAGTCGCAACAGGAGGTTACAGATAGCTCAGGCTTGATAAGCCTGCCACCTTGCTTGCCTGTTTGTTATCTTGCTGGAACACTAAACTTATCCAGATGTTGGCCTGTTCAGCTGAGCTTCACCCCTGACCCCTTCTTACTAAAGTGTAAACTGTACGTGCATGTGGGGAAAAGAAGAAGGATCAAAATTTAGTGACAAGGTGTAGAAGAGCAGACGGAGAGCAGCTACTGAGAATTATTTCCATTATATTCTTCAGTGACTACCTAATCATTTTATTATGTTGATTGATGGTAGCTGCCAGAGAGGTTATATTTTATTGATTCAAACTAGGCACTCACACTGCAAAGAAACACTGAATTCAGTTCCTTTATCAGTTTTGTAAAGATATAGTAAAATGCATGGTTACTTTGAGCTTTGAAAGAATAAATGTAGAGAAAAGATGGCTGTGAAGGCACAGCTGGGTGGGTGGATGAGAAATACTGTCTGCTTTTGAGCAGTCTCTATCAAGACTTGTAGCCAAAACAGGTGAAATGATGCTGTCATTACATTTTGTTGGCGTTAACTAATAGGGATCTGCAGTAAATGCGAAAAATCCAATAGTATATGACATTGATACCTTAAAAAGTGAATGAAACCAAGGTTATCTCTTGCACTCATCACTACAGCGATGTGCTTGTTTTGTTTAGGAATGTTCCTGATGATTAAGTGTCAATTACGCGAGAGGAAAAAAAAGGAAAACAGCGATTGACTGGGTGATTATTCTAGTCCTAAAAATAACAAACAAATAAAAAGAGTAATAGGATTAGCAAAATAGATTAAAATCTGTCAGTGTATAAATGAGTACGCTTTCTATTCTACAGATTTCTATTCAAGGCTCAGGAGGCGTTGATGAGTGGGCGTTATCAAGCTTTTTCTTTAAATACGCATAAATGTTTTATCTAAGTAGTCCCAGTTATTTAAAACAGTTGCTGTCGTGTTGAGCCATTTTCAGTCTGTGAAATGCTGACTTATATAAATTTGCTAGTGAATATTAATACCAGCACTGTTGTTTCATTACACTACAGTTGTACCTTTTAGTCTACAGTTGAAAAACATGCTTAGGAGTGCACCACCTCGTCAATATTAAACGGGCTGTGTCATCAGGTTCTGCTGTCCTCTTTCCTCTTCCTTCCTGATTTAAAGAGACCCGCTCGCTGTGAAGAGGAGGAGGGCCTGGCTGGTTGCAGCTACTTGGTCTCAACTATAATTATGCAGAGCTCTTCAGTATAGCGCACACAAGTGTTGGGGGTGAAGAGGGGAGCAGATTTTGTTGCACACACGGATAACGAACACTATCATCATCATCGCAAATAAACTGTAGTCCAGAGTCTGTTAGTCAGCTGCGACGTGTGTGTGTGTGTGTGTGTGCCCCTCCTTCATGTAAACAGACAGTGATACACAGTGCAAAAAAGAAGCAAAACTCATCATTGAGACTGGGCTTAAATGGGGTTCCTAATGCAGTGTGTGCTCTGCATTATTTAACGTAATTTCTTCCTGATGTTCCATTACCAGAACTATAACTGTTCTCCAGTGACTGCCTTTCTCTTATTTTCTGTCTATTCCTCTTGTTTCTATATATTCCTTGTGATTTTATATATATTTCACCTGTTTATTTATTACTGCTGTCTTACTATTTATATTTTATACCTGGTGTGGAGCACCCATAATTTCATTGTACATGTACAATGACAATAAAGGGCTATTCTATTCTATCCTACAAAGAATGTGATTTATTAGCCAGCAATACTCCATGCGTCCTTACCAAAGCCCATAAAGCTGGTGAGCAGTCAGTAAGGTGGACTCAAAGCAGCCTTTTACATTTCTGACTCAATACCGATGCCTTTGATTTTGGGATCTGCCCATTCTGATTTCTGATCCAGTGTCAGTGTTGAATAATAAGCACTGTCAGGAGTTAAGAGAGCAGAAATCTTTCTTTATGTGTAAAACAGCATCAGGCGAGACTGGAACATTGTTTTCTTATTTTTGTGAAATGAAATGTGACAAATAAACATACCCAAGATACATATTTACCAAACCGCTATCTTGTATAGTGTAATAATACATGACAACAGGACCAACGCAGGCGTTAGTTTAATTTATTTGCCTTTGTTTCATTTCAGCTCGGTGTGAGAGTCATTAGGCTGCTCCATACTGCTATTATTTACAACTTTTACAGTTGTGCTAATTTCTCCTTTTCCTGCACCACCTACAATGAGCAAACACCGTATATGATGATTGTTGTATTCTCAGCTCAGGCATGCACTCCCTGCTGCTGGAAACCAATCGGTTTCTCTTTATTATGATTGCTTTTGCAATTATTCAGTCTCCCTTACAGAAAGCAATGCATTTACCACATGTAAATAAGCCAGCTTGTCATTTTGAGGTCATGTTAACTATTCAAGATCCAAACTATTTTTGGCTGTGGAAAGCAGGGAATGCATTTTTCATCTTCCTAACTATTTATTTTTTTATCACTACCTTGTGTGTGACACTCTGGGAATGACAGGTATTGCACACAAAAGAAAGTTCACAGCGTTAGTTTATCTCTGTGTAATGAATTCAGACAATGATATTTTGTTTGAGGAAAAGAAACTCAACATCTTGTATGTTACTGCAGTAAAAGAGAGACTGTTTAAACTTGTAAACCATCCCAGTAGTTTGGTTTTTGGAAGCAATAACTGCTGACAATGGAAACACTTTTCTATTTAATATGCAGAACTTTTTCTGGGTTTTTAAAATATCTACTTGCACGTTCAGTTCGGATAAACTTTGCAATAGTTCAGCTTCTTTCTTTGTGAGCTAACCAGAAAAACTACTAGAATATCTTCCAAAATATTCTTCACATTTTTAAAGTGTTTCATTGTTATGATAATTGTGTGCGTGACTCTCTGCCTACAAAGGAATCTGAGTTGGCACCAGTGACTGCAACAGCTGTTGCCGTCATTTAGTTGGACACAAATGTGCTCTTTCATTTTATCTTTTAAAATTTGTGTTATTTCCTCAGTGAGGCAACCTCAGGACAAACAAACTATGATCCATCGAGACCAAACTATCATCCCGTGGACAACGCTTGTTGGAAACAGGGCCAGAAGTAAGTCACCTATCTGCTGCAAAAATAGGAACCCAAATTCTCTGATTGAATGTCTTGATTGAAATTCATATGCATCTTTAACTGTTTCCAGCGTGCATCAGTTACTGGCACCTCTCAGACATATTTTATCACTGCTTCTGTATACTGCTTTTCCCTGTTTCCAGATGTCTCCAAAATAATATAATTTCTTCACAGGGTGGATAGCCTCTCTATCCACCCACCAAATCCAGTCGCTTGGACATCAGACAGTAAAATATAAAGAAGAAAGACAGAAGGAGGAGGGGAGCATGTGGGATGATCAACTAGCTTTGCATAAGGCAGAAATTATGAGAATTTTATGTGAAGGATCATTGGGAAAAACAGCCGTTATTTTAACTAGGCAGCTGCCTATTTTTTCCCTTTACTGGAGAATTTGTGTAATCCTAAAGTAAATACAGAAATCACAGCCTGCCTATGTGCCTAGACCTATTTAAACAAGATGCCCTGAGATTGATTATCATGAATTATGCCAAGCAGGGTAATAATAAAGCTTGGGAGTGCAATGTGGACAGGAACTATAGTCGAACGTCCACCTGTCTCTTTCTCTGCTGATTATTTGCTTTTACTCTCCACTTCTGGCTGTCAAATAAAAGACAAAGCTAATCTACTCACTAAACAGGCAAGATTTGGGATGCAACGTTTTCACTCAACAGCGATTAGAGTCATCACACTGTTGGTGGGGTTGTTGTTTTTTTTCTCCCTTCTTCCCTCTGAGCCAAACTGAAGCGAACACCAGCCTGTTTGTTTTTTTTGTGAAGATCTGCGAGTTATTTATAAGGGGAAAAAACTTAAGGAATGAAAACCTTCAGGCCAGGGAAGTGCTCTGACTTAGTAATGGGTAATCACAGGGAAATCATGGAATTTTATATCAAGGTCACGCTGTAAGGCATGCTGCTTATGTGCTCGGCTTATTCTCGGATCGACTCCTGTACAGATTGTTTTAACCTGCTTTAAGCCGTGCGCAGGTGAAGTCTGCTGCTTCTTAAAGCTAAATATCAGCCTCTGAATTAAATTGTGTTCTTTTCTGAAATTGAATAAACAGTTTGAGTGTCAGAGCTTCGCAGTAAGGATTAAAAACACATTAGGATATAGTAGCTTTATATCCAGAATATATGCAAAAAATTATAAAGATAAAATTATATATATATATATTTTTTAAATTGCACTTCCCACCATATTTCTCTGTCAAACTAATTGTAACGACACACTTTTCTCCACATGCCGTTGTCACCTTCGCCCTCCTTGCTGTCATTTTTGTGCGGTTTTTGATAACCTTGAATCAAAGCTTATTCTACTGTTGCATTAATTGCTAGTCGCTCTGAATAGCCGAGTCAGCTCAGCGCCGCGAGTGTGAAAATCTGTCCGTGTTGATGCTTTGCCTGCTAACTACGTGTTCATCACTCTCCAGAGTGCCCTACTTGGCAGTGGCTCGCACCTTTGAGAGGATTGAAGAGGACTCTGGCAGGTAAGACCTCCCAATGGGGGACATTTTTCTTTTAAATGCCAGAATGAGTTGAACATCATTAGTAAGAAAATGATTGCAAGTCTTTCAAAGCACACACACGTATTGCAGAGTTTCTCTTTTTTTTCATAAAAATACCATTCAGGTTTCCTGCTGGGAATTTCTGGAACTAAATTAGTTAAGTGCTTGCCAGTCAGGAAAAGTGAAAAAATTTGAATAATTCACTGGTTGTGTTGGGAACATGAAGAAATTTTAAAATGGGTCACCTTCTAGGATTGCTCAAATATATTGTAATGTGGAGTTATTATGCTCACTTCCAGCTGCATATTTTTATTCTTATGTTTTACTAAAGTAGTTAAAATAATCCTTATTTGCCTCATAACGAGCTGCGGTGCTGCTCCTCAGTTTGCGCTGTCTAAAACGAGCATTTTAGCCCCTCTCTTAAAGGCCACCCTTCATTTAAGCCTCGTTTCTTTTAATTGGCGGATTCTTGTAAACAGAAGGTTTGAACAGCAGGTTAGCAGCTTATGTGCTCATGCCTGATGTGAGCATATTGGCCGTCATACAAGAGTGGGGTAAAAACAGTCTCAGTTTTTAGACGTCAGGCTGCTCAGAGGGGTGGTCGCGTTTAATATGAAAGCCAGTATTGTAACTATACCTGACAGAATATAAGTCTACGTTTCCCCACCTTAGTTTCCATCTTTTGTTTTGTAAACCTGGGTTGGTGTAAACCAGCTAAAACAAAAAAAACCCCAACAAGAAATTTCATGTTATTTTTAGAAATCCTACATTTTAAATAATGGTTTGTAACCTTTGTATCTTGCTAGTTGAAAACATTTTTATCTTTGAAGGATATTGAATGACATATTATTATCTGAAACTGATGTATAGTGTTTCATAAGTGAACTCTTCATCTGCCTCCCAAGCCCCTATTTCCGATTAAAACCTGCAGACTAATCTCATTTCCCACCTACCAGTATTTACGGGATGGCCTTAAAATTCGTTTAACTCGTCTTCCCTGTCTAACAGCAATCCTGTTGTCATTTCCTAGGCTGAGAAACATCGAGACACTGTCAAACCTGTTTCGCTCTGTGCTGCTGCTCTCCCCAGGTAAATGCTATTTTATCTCTGCCATAATGCATGCTGATGTAGCTATACAGGCAGCTGGCTGCCAGCCGCTCTATCAAGGAGATGATGTTGACGCCAGTTTGCACACAAAAGTGGGAGGACGTTGGCTGATGTGTGTATGAGAATGTGGGAATCTGATGGTGTTTGTGTGTGTTGTTCTGCCTGTGTTTCATTGTGTATATAATAGTGTTTGTGTCAGGCCTCAGCAATACAGTCATACAAGCAATACAAAAGCTGCAGGCATTAAATGAGCTGAGGTAGCTAATTAGCCTACTGTTATGCTGACTGCTTTTGTCCAAATAGAAACAATTCAATGAGCTCAGATGGGGAAAAGTTTGCGATTACATGCAATCTTTTTATGACACTAGCAATTGAATGCCGTAGGTTGGTGAAAATCACAAATTTGTTGCTGTCTGTGTACAAAGAAATTTATATTTAGAGTCCACCCAGAGCCTCAGAAATTTAAAACAAAAATTCAGAAATTCCTCACCACATAGAGATGCTTTAAGAATGTAGGGATATAACCAGCGTACAACTAGTTGGCAACCAGTTGAGTCAAGCTCCTTACTGAAGGAGTTGGGCTGACTGGCACAAGCTCAGATTCATTGGAATATATTGGCAATTTATCTGCATTTATAAATTGGGATCGCAGTTATTTGCAAACATTTACCAGTTTGTCTGTGAGCGATTGCCGTCAGTCTGTGTCGGACTACAGTTGTTTGGAAACAGGTGGCCTCTGACCAGGCAAGCAATTGCAATTGAAAGTGGTTTGCTAGAAGTTAGTCACTGCAACTATTAGGAATTGGTTAAATTTAAACTGCAAAAGAGAGATTCATAGATAAATAGAGAGAGAGAAATATAGATAGATATAGAAATATGAATAGATAGATACATAGATATTTTTACTTTAGTGTGACTGAGCCATTAGTGGTTATGGTAGGCGTAATTAGTCATACTTGTATGCCAGGGTTTTTTTGGCTATGAATGAGCCTTTATGATTACATAAAGTAAAAGCAGTGAGTCTCTGCACTTTCCTTTTATTTTTGACCATTTGGTAAACAAGAAATTCCTGTATGCTGAAAAAAACCTGTTAAATGTGATTCAGTGGTGTAGCCTGAAAGCATCTCTCTCTCTTTTCTCTCATCCATTATGTGTGTGTAGAGCTAGATCTGCAGTATGTAGCTCTGCTGTTGTCTGTCCCAGAAAAGTAGGGTTACAACTGGTGGAGTGCACTATATTAACCCCGTAAGCCCTAAGCTGTTGTTTTAAACTTCTACCTGGAAATTTTATCCTTTTTTTGCCAAATTAAATCAGTAAAAGCCACAAAGATATTAAAAAATTCATGACTTTTGGCCTTTGTGGGCGAAACACATTTCAGAGAACTTTGGCTTGTTCTGTCAAGAATGACTTAAAAAACTCTTAATATTGACAGATTTTCTGCCACATAATGTACACTGTAAATAAGAGAATTTAAAAAAAAGCAAAACACTTACACATATCAGTGATGCTAATATTACTAAAAACTTTCAGCTGCAATTCTACCAAGTTTGATGCCCGATAAATGAACCACAAGAAATTCTACATCCAGTCTAGTCATGCCAGTAGTTGGTGGAAACTCCATCCAGGGAATTTGTCATACTTGCCAACCCTTAAAAAATAAAAGATACCTGCTACATTTTTATAACAAATCCAGCCAGCACCCAGAACAGGGGACTCTGGGGAGGAAGGAAAGATTGCTGGTTGAAGCCAAAGCTGCCACAGTCAACAACTTTTCTGGTGGAAACCCCTTAGTCTTGTGTTGCCTGTCTGTATGTATTTGAATGTGATTTTGTGGATGTTCATTTGTGCGTCAAGAGTTTTGAGTGCCCACACTTGTGCCGCCTGCTGTTGTCTCAGAGTGTGGTTGTGTATTTGAGTCGCTGCTTGAGTGTGTCTATCCATGTGCCTGAGTTTGTGTGTCTGTATGTGGGTTTACTGTGCCGTTTTTGGTGGTATCTGTTTTTATTTGTGTGTATGTGCTTTTCTTTGCAGACTTGTCTGGAGGTGTGTGTGTGTGTGTGTACGCTGCTGTGTTTGGAGTATAATAAAGCCTTCATATGTGTTCTCCTTCCTAGATGACCTGCTCTGCTGCGTGTATCTGTGTCTGAACCAACTCGGTCCTGCCTATCTAGGGATGGAGCTTGGTGTTGGTGAGACGGTGCTGATGAAAGCTGTTGCTCAAGCCACTGGTAATAAGCGCACACACACACGAACATGTGGAAGCACTCTGCTGCACCCAAACACTTGCTTGTGCAATCCCAGCCTAACTGCTGATGCCACCCTTCTCTGAAGCTCATCAGCCAGCGAGGCTGCTGCTATTTACCGTTTCACTCTTGTTTCCAGGGCGACAATTGGACAAAATCAAAGCAGAGGCACAGGAGAAAGGAGATTTGGGCCTAGTGGCCGAGAGCTCCCGTAGCAACCAGCGCATGATGTTTCAGCCGGCCAGTCTGACAGCAGGGGGCGTGTTCAGGAAATTGAAGGAAATTGCCAGCATGAGTGGGAACTCGGTGAGCCACAGAATAACATTTTCATTAGAGGAGAGCAGTCTTGGGAAAATATTGTTTTCGCTCTATTTGCCTCTCAGTATTGAGGTCATGGACGGGAAAAAGGAAAGGAAATGTTAATGTGACGTATCGAACAAGAAATTAATAGTTTATTTGTCTGCTTCAGAGGGGCAAGGTTAATTTTCCACCATTTGAATAAGTTGTTACCTGCCTTGATTCTCTTGTACAATTAGTTGCTTTTCCCTTCATGGTTGCTGCTGGGTCATTTTTTATTTTTATTTTTTTCCTCTGTATTGAACATGGAGTTTGTACTCGCTGGTGACCTCAGTCTTTTTGCATTCTGTCTCTTCTCGCTCTTCTTCTGTGAATCTCAATTTCCTCCCGCCTGCCTCAGGCCATGAATAAGAAAATCGACATCATCAAAGGCCTCTTTGTGGCATGCCGCTTTTCAGAGGCCCGCTACATAGTCAGGTAAAATAAGACTCTCTCTCACACACATGCACACACAGCCTTGGCTGCACGTGTGACCACAGGCATACATGGGCGTCTGCACATTTATAGACGCAGAAATGCATAATAACTCCATAACCCTCTGTGTATACGTTGGAAGTGTTTAGCCATGTATATAAAAGATGAATGTAGCCTTGGAGTCTGAAAAATACTGCAGAAGCAGAAATCTTTTAGACCTGCATTCTTTCTAATGGTTGCAAAAAGGAGCTTTTAGCAATATTGCCCTAATTCTCTCTCAATCACTAGATCCTATCTACAGTAAAGCAGAGTGTGACTGTATGATTATGGCAAAAAAACATCACAATCAACGTCCATTAGTGTTATTATTAAGTGAAATCTTGGATTATTTAACTTGATTATTCATAAAGAAGAATTTTCCTTTAACATTACATCCTTTAGTGTTATAACTGAATATAATGCACATAGGAAAAATAAATGGGGGCTTGGGAACTTCCATCTTGCAATGTCTTTATGTGCAGACAGTAAAAAGAGGAGTAGGGGTGGGAGGACTTGATAGCACAGTTAGGGCAAAGGTGAGTAGGCTATCAAGTGACCTCTTAGTGGTGTGCTGCCAAAAGCCAACCGGGTGAGAAACCTGCCACTGGGTCACCTACAGAAAGATTCTTCTAGGTGGAGCTTGTTGACCAACGCGTTTCTTGATCCAGGTGAATAGACAAAATTGTAACTGCCTTTTTTTTTTTTTGATAATTTGAAATAATTAAGTTTGCATTACGCCTGGCTTTCTCAGTCAGGTTCACTGCTAACTCCTGAGGTCTGGTTAAAATAGAAAAAGGGGAAAAAACTCAAGTCAAGGCTGCATCCTTTATATTTTATTATTATGTTTTATTTTCAATCTCTGCTTGCAGGTGTTGTTCAAGGTAGCTAGGTACAAATAACTGACTTGACTTGGTGCAAATAGATGTGTCTTCTGACTGCTGTTGAACTTTTGGTTCTGATGGACAGGTCTCTGGCTGGAAAGCTGAGGATTGGTCTTGCTGAGCAAAGTGTGCTCTCTGCACTGAGCCAAGCTGTCTGCTTGACCCCACCTGGACAAGGTAATTTTAAAGGAAAAGTTCTTTTTTTTGTTTTGTTTTTTTTTAAACAGCCAGGTTTCCATAAGTATATGAAAGAAGAAGAAAGAAAGCTTTTTTTCTGTTTCAATCATTCCTCCTGTGAGCACTCACCATGAAAAGATCCTTTCCTAGTGAACTTTTGGTTTAAGTGGCTGCCAAATCTTGTACAGACTTTTCAAAATCAGAACTTCTTTTACTCCGTCTCTGCATCTCACCTGAATCCAGCTGTTTTACAGTCAGTGTGGTGGTGGCTTGAAATCGCTTGCATACTCTGACATTTTACAATTCAGTGCCTTCCCTCCCTCTGTCCTTCCCTTACTTCCTTCTATTGACACTTAATAAAAATTTAAAGACATCCATGTTTCACTTTCGTTCTGGGTTATGCTAATATTTGGCATTAAATTTTAATTTTATTTAATTTTACTAATTTGTCATATGAGTTTTTCAAATCCTATTTTTTCTTGCTCTGTTGCACATATATTCAGAGGTTTCTTGCCCTATGATGTGTACAGAGCTTTGGTTAACTGGTTGGTTTAATTTATAAACGAATTTGTTACATAGCCGAGTACCTTCTGATGTAAATCATCACTCTTTGCGTTACACCAAACTCAAGAAAAGGAGAGAAGGGAGGTTAACAGTGAAAGGACTAAATATTAAAATGATTTCTACTTGATTTGCGAAACCAAACGAGTTTACTGTGCCACACTGTTGGGGCTAATAGAATCCCGATTGCCAGTCCTTGTCAGATTGTTCAGTATCAAGCTGCAGGCTTTTCAGTTTGTGCAGCAAATGATTCGGGAGTTGTTGCATTGCTACTAAACTAGGGGGGGGGGAAAGAATAAGATATGAAGTATGTCATCCCTCTGTGCCTTACTTGCATTTTGAAAGCTTTAGGCATAGTTCATAATAAACTTCTCTGCACTGAAAAAACAAAACAAAACACAGATTGGGAGGTGGAGGAGGAGATTATGGATGGATCAAAGCACAATCAAATTGGTAGATGTGTCTTACACTGTGATCAAGTACATGTTTCCACCAACGATAAGCTGTTGTTGAGCCATTTCTTCTCCCGTCCCTTTCAAGAACCAGCCAACATTTCAGCAGATTTGGGAACCAGTCGTTAAATAGCATTATGCAGCAGAACTTGAGTGATTTTAGTGGGAAGAAGATCACGGCAGGCGGATTCTGGGGGTTGAATCTGCAAATCATTTGATATTTTTGTTGTGGTAGCTTCTTAAAGCCACTGATGTACACAATTCCAACTTTTAGCCCGGTAGTTTTGGGAATTTGCAAAAGGGCTTAGTTCTGATTGTTTGAGTCTCATGCGAACTTCAGATCAATGTATATTTCAAATTCATATATTTTCTCACACGGTGAACTTTGCATACTTGAAATGGTTAAAATAATTAGATTTCTGGTGGTATGATCCAATTATTCTTTGTAAAAGTTGAATCTGAATCCTAACTTGGAGGTGACAACGATGGAGGAGGAGGTGGAGTGTTAGAGCAAGTAATCATGTGCTTTATTTTTAGGCTAGTCATTAAATCAGCGTTAAAATATTCTTCACATGAATTAGAGCAGTCATAGATCAGCTTCAGCTTGAAAGAGCAGTGTACATCATCCATGGATTTGAAATATTTAACACGTTTTCTGACCTGATCTGTTGCTAAATTTATCTCTTTACGAAGAAAGTTTTGACAGCCTCGCTTTACCACCTACTTTCAGCGCTCTTACTAACACTAGACTTATTAAAATGAGTTGCTTAGTCACGACTGGAGGTGTGCTTTAATAAGAGTCAATTAGACCAGAGGCTCATAGGGGAAATTTGCATTGATCTGTGGCCTGGTCTGGAAATGTTTTTCTTAACATTTTTATTTATTTATTTAGCCATTATTTAATCAGGCAGGTCAACTCAGAGCAAATTATTTGTTGGGCTGAAGACGCTCATGGTGATGAATAATTTAACTTAATAAATTATTATTCAGTCATAGTTTAAATGTATCATAATTATTAATGTTATACTGGGAAACAATATAATTAATTTGGACTTCACAGTGGGAATTAAATCCAGTCTTCACTGTTCATTGTTGAGCTAAATAAATAAATAAATGAATAAAAGTGAAGTGCAGCAATACTCAAGTAATTGCTGCAAGTCTTGTATATTTCCTGGCCTTTGAAGTGCTTCTGAACTCTCATCCAACAAATGTTAGGTCATACAAATGTTCAAACACTTGCAAAGATCTGTTTGAAATGCATTTCCCCCCCCCCTCTTTCCTTATAGGTTTTCCTCCCACTGTGATCGACGCAGGGAAGGGAATGAGTGCTGAGAGCAGGCGGGCGTGGATTGAAGAGAAGAGCCTCATTCTCAAACAGACTTACTGGTAACTGAAGCCTCAACAAACACCCTTGTTTCAATTTGCACTCTCTCCTCGGCACCACCACAATGCCTCATCGCCCCCTTTAAGTCCCGTCCCTCATTCTCCCTCACATTCCTTTTTTGAACATATTGATTTTTTTCTTCTCTTTTTTTGGGAGGTGAGGTGGGGGATTCTTTCCAATCACCCTGTCTCATGTCTAACTCGCTGCCCTGCTCTCTCCCATACAGCGAGATGCCCAATTACGATGTTCTGATCCCCGTTTTGCTAAAAGAGGGCATAGACCAGCTGCCCAATCACTGCAAGCTCACTCCAGGTAAGCAACCAGTCAAGAGGCAGAAAGGTTGTAAGATCCAAAGCAGTGATTGGTGTGTGTTTATTGATCAATTCAGTGGAGGTGAGTCAGTTATTTTAGTTAAGTCATTTATCACAGAAAGATAGAAGATACCCTAAACTAAGGATTAGGTCCCAATTATACTCTTGTCAGGCTATTTGTGATAAGGAGACTTGGCACCAACGTAGGAAATTAATACAAGCCACCATCTGAACGATACTAAATTGGGAAACTAAATTGGCCGTTGTTGGTCAGTTAGAGCAATCTAGCCGCTATTTTGGCAGGTAAATAATTGTTCTTCAGGGGCCTGTTTTGTTCTGAAATGTGAGATAGTTAAAGGAGCTGGTGAGTGTTTGCATAACACCAGCCAATTTGGACAAAATGTTGCAGTACTTTCATATTGGGCTTCTTGCTCTGTAAGCTGCAATTAAAGGAATTTGTTTGGTATATTTTCATTATATCATGCTATGTCTGCTGCTTTTGAAGCTTAACTTAGCAGCACAGCCCAAGGGAATGTGAGTCAGAATGTTAATATTGAGGCCAAATGGGAGTACAAACAAACTAATTTCGACTGTGGTTTTGTCACAGAAACAGTTGTGGGTGTGATGCTGATGTGTCATGTGGGAATGTGTTGTTGAAGCCAGTTTCACATTTTCTTGGTTTATTTTATTTAAATGTTTTGTTGCAAAAGGATACGAGATTCTTGGAACCAGAAGCTCTGTTAGCACTAGCCCTCCTAGTGTTAGTCTTTCTCTACACAAGAACCAGAAAGAATAGTCTTCGTCTGGTTGTTTTTAAGCTGTTTTTTAGCCGTTTACTTACTCCAGTTCTCCCACTATTCACCCTTTTTCTTCCAGGTGTACCACTGAGACCCATGTTGGCTCACCCAACTAAGGGTGTTGGCGAAGTGATGAAGAAGTTTGACGAGGCAGCGTTCACCTGCGAGTACAAATACGACGGGGAGCGTGCACAGGTCTGTGTTTGTGCAAAGTGACAGAGTGCAACTGTTTGTTTTTCTTGTATTTGGCACCAGACATATGCCTGCTGAATTTTGCATGCATATAGCTTTTGGCTGTGTTCTTTTGAGTATGAAGTATTGCTGTTCTGTGACTCTCACTGCCTGTTCACTTGACAGTGTGTATACGTGTGCCTGTGCCTATTCTTTTAAGATAAATAGTAGTGCTGCTTATACCTTGGGCCTGTGGGTAGAGTGAGCTACTTCTGCCACTGTGGGCTAGAGGGGAGGAGGTGGTGGAAGGGGGGAGATGAAGAGACATGAGGCAAGAAGGTAGAGACAGAGAAGACAAGAGAGATCAGAGAAAAAGGGAGTCCAAACCACAACAGGAGAGAAAAGAGGGTATGTGGAAATTTCGAGGGAGACGTACAGAAACGCAGCAAGAGAGAGATTGTAATGTAAACCCCTCCAGCTGTATTGTTAATTTTGGACAGTCATGCCAATAAAGTGCCTTTGAACTGAGTTGAATTGAGAAGAAGAAAGATGAAGAGCAAGAGGGAGAAACAGAAACAGAGGAACTGGATGCGAAGAGGGAGCGAGCCGGCGAGCAAGCCGTATGACGTCCTCTTCTCTCTGGCCTCACTGCAGTGGACTTTACCTTAAACGGCCAGCAGGGGGACTCACGATTCACTACTCAACCTTCTGTGTGTGTGTGAGTGTGTTTGTGTGTATGCAAATGATTGTGTGGTCAGATATCGCAGCCAACAGAAAGTCAGCTTTGCTCTGTATGACAGCTGAAGAAAAAAAAAAACTGTAAATGAGCAAAATAATTAGATGTCCCTGTCTGAAGGTTAAAAAATAGACAAAATCTGCAGATATCCTAGGTAGTTAATTTGAAAATTGGGGGTTAAACACATGGTAATGGTTAGAAAAGAAATGAGCTGAATAGAAGAGACGTCACGAGGGCAAAAACGTGGACAGTTGTTGTGCTAATGTTCATATCTCTGAGTATTAATGAGCAACAGTTTCAATTAGTTTGTGAAATATCAGTTTGAGTTTGAATCCCTAAATTTATCTAAAGCTCATAATGTCAGTGTGAGTGAGTGAGTGAGTGAGTGAGTGAGTGAGTGAGTGACAGACAGACAATGGCTTATTTGTCGTCATTGCACTCGACACAGTATGGGAAACTTCAAGATATAAGGAGCATCAGTCTTTGTCTCTCACCTGCGTTAAGATCTTGTCTGTCACTCGACTAACTCAGTTAGCTGATTGGCAAATGCAGTGAAAATAAGTTTATTACCAGAACAGATTTTCCAGCTGAAATGGTAAACCCACTGTGGTTCATTTCCCTTGGTACTAGTACCAGTCGGAAAAACAGGCAGTGTTTTGCTCCCTAGGATGTTAGAGGCATTCAGCTGTCGCCCAGCAGTACAACACAAAGGCTTTTTATTTATCTTTATTTGGCGTGTTTAACAACACAGCAGCAGTATACTCATAGATACAGCCTGGTCTGTACTCTGTGTATGGCTTATTTAGTCACAAATACAAAGCGGTACTAGTACAGATGAAATGTTCTACAGTTTTACTCCATGTTTATGCACGCTACTGCCACCTCAAGGCCAACTTTACCCAGCGTTCCAGCTAAAAGGTCTGACTGGGAAGTCAGAATTTATGACTTTGTACTTCAAATGGAATGTAGCATTAGTTTCTTAAAGGGGAACTATTAGGCTTTTCATTATTTTCTGAAATATGCATACTGTTACACTGGTAGATTTTCATGTTAAACATGGACATATTTTCAAATAATGAGCTCAGTGTATGCACAAGTAATCCCTGTGAGCCTAAAGCCAGGCTTCAGATTCTTCTAAATGCTCTATCTCAAACAGTTTAGTCTACTTTTGACTCTGTTTGATGTTAGTGGATCTCCCTACATCTCATATCAGGCACACAGCTATAGCTGAGAGTACAGGAGCCCCAGAAGAAAGCTGGCTTAAAGGGAGACGAGCTAAAACGGCTTGTTTCATACGCTGGATTAACTGAGCGGCTGCACCTAAACAAAGGATAAAATAAATGAAGAATATTTTGAACTGAATCAGTAAAATATAAATATAAAGCTACAACTTAATATATTTCCTCTGCATCATCTTTTTTTCTTTGTTTTACGTGACACTTGAATCAAACTAGACTGTCTTGCATTAGCAGAGGAGCAGCTGCTAACATTTTCCACATAAGATGTGTTTATGCACATTATGCGGTGAACTGCAGATAACCCGTGTATTGGAAGAATTAAGAGCCTAATAGACAATTACTGTAGTTTTGTATATGAAGCACAACACAATAGTAAAAGTAAAACACAAGCCATTATGTTGCATATGTAGACAGCTGGATTGATTAAGCTAAGGTGTTTATCCTGTTGCATGAGATGGACTGCTGAAACACATTATGTGTCAGCGTAGCTGTCTTGTGATTTTCTGCCATTTACTTGCTCATTTGGTCATTTCGGTGACCTGACAGTTAATCCATTAATCTAGAAAATAATTGGGAGACTAATTGTTGAAGCCTCAGTTTAATGATCACCCCTACACTAGGTAGGAAAAACCTTCTCCTCTGAGTGACCATAAATGTTGTCAGCTGTATGTTCCTTCAGAATACATATTTACATAAAGATAGTCATTAGTCTGGAAGACTGAGCCGATTACCGGAATAGATTGACAGAAAACTGGTGCTAATTGGTCAGGAATCCATCCTGTGTGCATGTATGTATTGATAATGCTTGCATGATTTCATAATCTTACTGTGTGGGCAGTTGCTCTCTTCATTCCCAGGACTTATTTCTTCATTCTGTCCCCAAAGCTCCCACTTAATTGGGCAAAAGGAGCATTTGAATTTTAAGTAATATCAACTAAAGCTTGGTGAGCTGGTCTTACTAAATGAATTGAAGGTAATTTTAAATGATTTGGAATCGGTAAAATCTGACTGTGAATGCTATCGTGTCTATCTTTGTGTATTTAGTGAGCTGCCTGTCCCAGTCAGAACACTTTCGCACAAGAGATTTTAAATGTATCTTCTGCATAAAGAAGGATAAATGTAGCAGGCACCTCATGTGTAGACTGAATGTTTTCCTTTAAATATCCTGTTAAACAACATAAGTTATGATTTTATATTTGCCCGAATACGTTTGTCCTATCTGACACTTCAACTATTATACTGTTATCTTGGCATAATAAGAGCCGGTAATGAATTCCACCTACACATGCATCTCCTGTGGTTAGTTGTTAATAACAATAGCTGTTGTTCTTCCTCCTTGAGGTCCATGAATTCTTTACAAGTCGATCCATCTGTATCTGAATGCAACATCAAGTCTCTTTTTGTTGTTGTTGTTGTAATTTTACATGTTTTAACCAACACATAAATCATGCTGTTTTGTGTTTATCTATTTTATTGCGACTTTTTTTGTTTTCCTCTACAGATTCACATTTTGGAGGGTGGCGAGGTTCGAATATTCAGCCGCAACCAGGAAGACAACACCAGCAAATACCCAGATATCATCTCCCGCATTCCCAAGGTAAAACACTTCGACACCGCAGCTCAGCCCTTTGGGAGAGAGGAGAGTGTGATTGTCAAATGAGGCCTTTTACAGCGTAGCGGATAACAGCTGAACACATTTATCCTGCTCACTGCCTCGTCACTTTGGTTCTTCTTCTCGCCTATCTCTCATCTGTCTCGTTTCCATGTGCATACTTCTCCTTTCTGCCTTAGATTTGTCACAGTTGGAAACCCCTGTTCAGTTTATTTGTTCTTTCCTGTCCTTACTCTCCCTGCACTCATCGAGAGCTGCTGCTGGCCATTAGATTTCTTTTTTTGTTTTAAGTCTACTGAGTTGTCCACTCAGGATGGGAATTTTAACCAGCTTGTCATCTCTCTAATAGATGTCAAAAACACACATTGTTGCAGTTTTACCTTTAAATTTCAGCCGTGGGAAGGCTTGCCAAATTAGTGAGGATCTGCTTGAGTGGGGAGTGAGGAAAAAGAGCACCACTACCTGAAACTTTGGCACTTGGCCTGAGGTTATCTGAGCGTGCTCACTGCTTCAGTGCCTGCCGAGTGTGTTTTTCTGCTGTAGTAAGGAACTGCAGTCAAGTACCAAATGAATCTACATCAGTTTGCACTCTGCTCTCATTTATTTTGTTTTCAAGCCTTTTGTTGGATGCACAGCTATTATTGAAACGTCATTGACATTAAAATAAATTCCCATCTGGTCTGTGCTAATTAGAGCAGATTATCGAATCAGATGAATTCTCAGAATAGATGTGTAATATTTCTAATGGGTTCCTGTGCAAGAATTTATTAAGATGTTATTAATTACTAGAGCTTGTTAGTGGAAACAGGTGGTGTTTCTCACAACAAATTCAGGAAAAAAAATGGCAACACAACACCGGTAGCAAAAAAGCAAAAGAATCACATCATGTCATAATTTTGGTAAATTTCAGTTTAAGTATTTTAGTTTGCAGGTCAGACTTGACCTTTTGTAGAGTTCACACTTTGTTTCCTCATGTTGCAAGGTATTTTGTGGTGTCAAGGTTGTCATTAATTAGATCCTAGACGTATTTTGTTGACTTCAAGGGGAGAATGCGAAGATGCAGACCTAAAGGTTGCAGTTGCAGGTCAAACATGCAACTAATTTTCCAGTGTATGACTCATGATGGTTCACAGAGGTCATGTTCCCTCCGGACGTCAGTACAGTCAGCCGTTAATTGTTCCAACCTGTGAACATATCATCAGGGAATAAGCACCCCCCCCAAATCTAATCAGTGTCTTGTGTTAAACTGATTGGCTCTTTATGTGCGGCTGTGTTTTGTTTTTAAATGCCTCTCTGAGTTCATCACCGACTAAATCTGTGCTGCTTGAGTTTAGTTTCACTTCTACATTTTATCTATAAGAAGATATTTATAACATTTATCAATGATAATATCTTATTCTTTATTATTTTGCTGATAGAATCCAAATTTGTTTTCTCTAGAGGAGAAAAAACTGGACCTAAAGAGGTGTTTAACCCTTCAGCCACAGAAAGCTGAATTTCATCATCACTCCACCTCGTGGGTGGTGTGGACACCCAAGTTTGTTATCATGATTACTCAAGAATGAGGTGACGTTGGATTTTAAAATTGATACAATAGTTCCATCTACCCAAATCGCAGCGACCTCGACCTCAATTTCATGGTCAGAGGGCAACTTTTCAGAAAAACTTTTAGGCTTTTCACATTTCTATCATAGATGCATTTACTAGGAGCCTGAGGGTCAACACCAGCAGCCATTAGTATTTTTGAAGTTGATACGGTGGGGTAATAAAATTGTTGCTCAGCTTCAATTAAGCTCATTTGAGTAACTGAGTTTGACCATCTCCATTACGTTCATGCTGTTTATGCTTCTTAAAACATTTTCAGTGGTTTGTCTGACTAATAGTATGACTTGCTTTGTTGTCCACAATATTGAAGAAGTTTGTGCTTCTGGAGTCAAATTCCTTAGTAGTTTGTTCCATAGGTCTAACAAGCAGACATGTTTGTCTGCATTGCATTTCTGCACTTCATGGTAAAAGCTCGCTAACATATCTGGCTGGTGTCCCCATCTGGTCCCAGGATACAGCTTCTGACTCCAGAAATGTAGCATGGCAGTGTCCACGATGCTAAAGTTAAGGTTTTGAGAATGTTGAGCCAAAACCAATGGCTGATGTCACAGTGCCTTTACCCTCCACAGTCTTTGGTCTGAACACAGTGTAGGAAAACAGCTGGTGTGCATAACCTCCACTTCCACAAGTTGGACAACATTGCTCAGCTTTGTGCAGCCTTCAGACAACCATGTAAAATTCTGGTTTAAATGAAATAGCAAGTTTGGAGGCATATGAGCTTGATGAACTGGACAGATTGGAACCAGTTTCCTAGTTCTCGATTCTCATCTCTACAATACTTCTTTCCCATCGACTGTTGGCTGCGTCTGCCAAATCAGTTTTCCTGTTGACTCCTGGGGGAGCATAGGTCTGCAACAACACCACGCCAACGGACTCTGTTCTGGGCTGCTCTCTTTAGCTGGGTCCACGTCATTCCGACGGCCTTCACTTTGCTCTCGACAGATCTTCTCCACGTCTGTTTGGGTCTCCCCACTGGCTGCGTCTGCCAACAGTTGATAAATTGTCGATGTGCTTATACTTACTGACAGGTAGTTCTAACTTGGGACACAGGAAACTTGTGGGGTGTAAAGGGTTAAACAATAACAATATTTGTATTATATGTTTCACTTAAGACCACTTAATTTACACTAACTTGCTTTACATAACTTCTTGATATCCTCTTTCACATTCAATGCTTTCCAACGACGGGGAACTCTCACGTCTTTGTGGGTTTAAGTCACAACTGATTAACTTCATCCCTATTCAAATGGTTGAAAGCTGGCTGAGAAGCATTTGCATGATGTTCCTATCTTTCTCCTCTTTCATTCCCTTATATCTCCTTACTGTCAGTTTTCTAGGAGACCCTTTTCACTTCAGACAGTTTGACTCATCAAGCAGGAAACGCTTAGGTGGAACTAACATTAACGGCTGCTCTGGTCCATTAAGTAGTCGAGGAAGCCTTTCCAGTCGGTGTACAGTAACAAACCCCGGACCCAGCTCATCTAAGTGGCATAAAACCACCGTTAATGTTATCGATTATATATTATATTATTATGTGGTTTTCCTGTTTTGACATGTTATATTGTCAGCTATGAAAAAGATCTATAAAAAGTCTAAAAAATCCAAAAAGAAAAGCTAGCAGACTGCTGTGAAAGAGCTTTAGGGATTAATTCTGTTATTTAAAATAAGATTTTTTTCAAAATAAGATTAAAGTTATTTGACCTTGTTTAGTTTTAAGATTTTAGATTTTAAGATTTTGTTCACATAAACTCTGCCACATGGGAGGAAAGTAAAATCTCTTTCCTCATCCTGCTGGACAGTAGCTTTTTGCCAACATGACTCAAATGATAGCTCATATCTCACCTCAGTCAATCTAACCTCTGTATCCCATCTTCTCTCATAACATCTGCACTCTAACTTTCCCTCACACCGACTTTCATCTTTCTGATATTTTCCTCCCTTTTTTTTAATAACTTTAAAAGCTACACGGATCTTTGTCTCTCACACTCACCTTATTGCTCTCTCCGTCCACTTCCCTCATGTCTGCCTGTCTAATCATTCCCCGCCTTTCTTCTTCATTACGTCTTGATGATACTTGTTCAATTCTTCACTACTCCTAGCTCGCTCTCTTCTTTTTTCCCCCCACCTCTCTTTCTCCACTCTTGTCTTATTCAGCCTCTCTTCCTCTCATCTTTTTTTAAGCTTTGATACTACCTGTCTGCAATTTCACCTTTCTGGTCTGCCTCTCTGCCACTTATATCCTTCTCCTCTCACTCCCTCTACACTTCTTACGTATTTGCTCTCGCTCTCTCTTCATCGCCTGCCGACGATCTTGACTGGTGCCTTCTCTCACCTTTTTTGTTTTTGCCTTCGGTTCCTTCTCATCCCTGTCTCCCTTCTCACAATTTCTTTCGCACCATTTTTTTCTCCCTTACTTTTAAAACATTTTCTTTAACTTTTTTTTTTGGTTCCTTCCTCCCTTGCTCCTCTTCCTTCGCCTTGTTCTCTTTGCACTCCCCTTACCAGCATTTCATGGATTATTTTCAGACTTTTTCTCCTTCTCTGTCACCTTTCTTTCTCATCATTATTACCTCCTAAATTGCAAGAGGAAACAGACATAGTGTTAGATTTTGGCGTCTTTGCTTGATTATTTGGATGCCTCGAGATAGATTTGAGAGATGACATTGCCTTTCTATCTTTTGAAGTAATTTTCCTTTTTATGGGTTTGTGAAGTTAATGGTTCATAATTTAAGATGCTGAATTTCTTGCGGTTTGAAAATGGCTCATGTTGGTTATGTGAAGTTTTTGTCTCAGAAATTGATTACTGATCATTAATGTGGCAGACAGTTAATTAAAGAAAATGCTTAGATAATCATTTACATTGCCTATCTTGACATTATGATTTCGTGGCAGTGTGTTTGTGTGTGCCAACACACTTGGTGAGCACACTGAGTTAAACTTCAAACTAACTCAGGTTGCCTGCATGGAGAAGATGGTTTGATTAGATTTTACAGCACCTTGCTGCATTATTTTGCATTTTAATAAGGGAAAACCAATTTTCCCCAGGCTACCACAGAGCCTTAAAGTTTCAAATTATGAATTAATATTAATACATTAATATTAATACAGATGCATTAATTAGTAATTAATTCATTACTTAGCCTAATAACCTTATGAGGAGAACTGATTGTGTTTGATATTTCAGACTGTTTGCAAACAAGCTGTTACCTCTAAAGTGTCTGTTACGCTTAGCTTTGATTAGGTGTCTGATTACCTTTCAGATTTCCTTCGCTAATAAGTTCCCAGTCTGATTCAGATTAGAAATGTAGACATTTCGAGGTATCCTACAGGTTCCCAAATTGACCAGGAAGTGAGGGATTAAAGCCTCACACACGATTTGGTGGCTCAGCTAATTAGCAGCCGCTCAGTTTGCTCAGTTTGATCTTGGGATTCGGCTGTGATGGTCAATATAATCTGCCCATGAGCTAGACGGTTTATCCGCAGCTTAAACCCTATCAGTGTCTTCCTGCACAGGGAAATAACTATCAGCTGCCAAAGCCTTTAGTTAATGCATAAATGATAAACAACAAACTGCAGAATGTTTCTGGTGAAACTTTTGACCAGACGTGGGCGTCCCACCAAAAGAGGGGACGTGCTTAACAGTTTGGAAACTGTCTGAAAAGAAGAGACTTCAGTTATAAGCAGTGTTGGTCAAGTTACTTGAAAAAAGTAATCAGTAACTAATTACTGATTACTTCCCCAAAAAAGTAATCCCGTTACTTTACTGATTACTTATTTTCAAAAGTAATTAATTACTTAGTTACTTAGTTACTTTTTAAAAACACGATTTACAACCTGAAGAGGTGATAAAGCGATAGATCTTTCAGCCCAGTTCTACTTTTTCTACATAATCCATCATACAAAATGTAATCAAATGGAAAAGTCTCTTTTTTTAACTTGTTTTATCATTTTTAATCTTTTAACTTTATGCATCAAGCAAAAATTTAATTATATGCAACATTCTCTGAGTTGAATAAATGAGTTTAACATTTAAACCTATTTTCTGCACATTCCAGCACATAAAATAAAATAATTTTTTGTGTTTACACTCACTCTTTCAAATAGATGCAAGTAAAACACAGCAGAACATAAATAAAGTCAAAGACTCAGCGGTCCTGTTGCTCTATTTTCACCTGTAAAGCAGGACTGCAGTAGGCGGAGGTTTACCCTGGTGCAGGTGTGCAGCGGTCAGTGGAAGGATACGGCAGTGTCTCTGTGAGTTTCCCATTACCTCGTTGCGCTCTTGGTGCTTCCTTGGAAGTTTAGGGTTTTTTTTCGCTGTAAAAAGAAGTTTTCTTCCCACGCACGATGGACGCTAATGTTTTTGTCACTTTTTATGGAATCAAACTCAAAGTAAGGTCAGTACTTCCACGCTTTAAACGCTGCATGCTCATACTCTCTCCCGCACTCGATATGTGATCCATTGTTGATCTGCACACAGCTGTTGTCACTAACGGCGCACTCGCTTACGTCACTGTCGTGAGACATTCTGGCAAAAAATCACGGTTTTAGTAACGCAGTAACGCAGCGTTCCTACGGGAAAGTAACGGTAATCTAATTACCGATTTTGCAATAGTAATCCCTTACTTTACTCGTTACTCGAAAAAAGTAATCAGATTACAGTAACGCGTTACAAGTAACGCGTTACTGCCCATCTCTGGTTATAAGACATGACTGCTCAAGATAGCAATACATGTAGGGCATAAAAAATGCTAATGTGCTGTCTTCCAAAGCATTTGGCAACAAATTGGGGGCAGCTGCGGGTCCTGAAACGACCTGAACATGTCTTCGGTATGATTGCCTCTGTATGAGACTCAACTTGGCGCTTTTCAAAGACATGAACAGAGTTTGAATCTCTGAGTTTGTCAGAAGATTGAAAGTCTCATTGAAGTAAATCCAGCAGTCTTCTGTTTGCTACAGCAGATGTTGCCTATATGCAGTCTGGCTTTTTCCCCCCCTTCATCTATAAAAAATCTTTCTCATCTTTCTCATCTCACTCTTGAGCGCAATCTTTTATCTTTTTGTTTATCTATTTTTCTTTGTTGCTCTGTCATGGTTTTTCACGCAGGTGAAGAAGGACTCTGTTGTATCTTGTGTCCTGGACTCTGAGGCGGTGGCCTGGGATCACGAGAAGAAACAGATCCAGCCCTTCCAGGTCCTCACCACCCGTAAGAGAAAGGTATGGACAGAGCGGGATGTAATAGGGAAGAAGAAAGGGAAATAAAATGGCTGTGGTGTCATAAAGGCAGAGAGTAGGAGATAATGAGAGGAGAAAGGAGGAGGAGTGAAAAGGTTGAAGAGAGAAAACAAGACAGAGATAAAGACTTGAAGGTAGAGTAGAGCGAGATAATAGTGTGAAATGATCCGGCAGACTGAGGGTGATGGACGGAGGAAAAGCAGACAGAACGAGGGGGAGACTGATAAGTAGGAGAAGGAAGAGTCAAATGGATCGAGAAGGGTGGTGGTGGTGGCTGAGATTGCAAATGTCAGCAAGGTGTTTATTCAGTTTTGATCAGACTAATGGCCTCTTTCCACTACACCAATCACATTAGAGTGAAACTGCTCTCTTTACTTTCTCTTTGTATGCATGATGCCATCCTTGTAAATTAGGAAAAGAGAAATGAGGAGGAAAATACAGAGAACATGGTGATGGAAATTGCTGAAAATGATTATCTTGATGACTTTTTCTTTTTCTTTTCTTTTTTTGATACTGTTACTGCCACCATGAAACTATGATTATTTGTAATGACGGTTTGATGCACATACTGATTGTTTTGCCCTTCTGGCATTCTGTAACATCTCAACTGCTTCAATACCACAAGCACGCTTCCTGAATGAAATATTTCTGCTGAGGAGATGAAACCAGATATGCACTAATTAAACATTATTAATGAGCAGAGAGGAAAGTAATGAGGGTGTGAAAAGAAGAATTAAAGAGAGAAAAATCCTTCAGGTTTAAAGATTGCGGTGTTTTTTTTTTGTAATTTTTTTATTTTTATTTTTTTAGTCGTTGCTGTTTAATTCTTCCATCCAGTCCTTATCAGATCACTCACAGAAGTTTGGAGAACTGAACCTGCAAGTCACACTTTACAAAATTATCTAATCTGACTATTTTATCTATCTAACTAATAATTACCTGAAGGAAATGTTGATGAAGCTGAGTATGTATTTCATCATGAGCTTCTTGTATGTTGGTGACAGATGGATGAAAGTTAGTTGCAGTTGGAATTTGGCACAGATTTAATTTAGTGTCAGTTTGTACTTTAGTACTGACATAAATTGGTAGGTTGATGGGTTACATAGTTAGTTGTTGTAGTCTATGCCTTAAAAAACCCCATAAATCTTTAAAATCACCATGCTTAGGCTTGGAGGGGGTAATTTAGGCCACGTGGGCAAGTAGGCTTTCAGTACACTGATGTTAATGATCATGATGATCTGTTTAAAACAACAGTAGTTGGCTTGAGAATAAACTTAGGAGGCAAAGTTTGTTTGAAGAGTGTTTCATACTTAAAATAATCAGATGCCTTTATGATCAGCTGTGGTATTGATGTTTTCTTTTCACGTATATAAACACATTTGAACAGTGGTTTTTAAACTTTTTAACCTTATTTTGAGATGACTTAAGAATATTTACTTGGAAAGGTTATATTCATCTGAAATACATAATGACTATTAATGAAGTATCCCAAATAGGCAAACTGTGGCTTGTTATCAGAAGCCATCAGTTGAGTCCCAGTGGAGTTCCAGTTGTTAGTTAAGCGAAGTTTATTATCTTTATCAACGCTGACTGATCAGCCTTTTCTAAGTATGGTAGCACAGCTGAAACCGTTTCTGTTGTGCATCAGCCTCTGTGGGTTCAATTACAGTCCAAAAAAAGAATATTTTTATAAAAGTGGTCAGTGATTTTGTTTTAAGCCTGCCAAAAACCTGAAGATTTCATGCTGCCATGGGTACTGCTCCCTTCTCAAATTCGCACAGTCTAACCAGAATAGAAGGAGAACTGGGAGACCATAATGCACAACTGAGGAAGAGTCTGTAGTCTCAGAAGCCGACACCTCACAGGTCCACAACTGGCAGATTCATTAATGGTAGCCATCTGAGTCAGTCTGTGCCACATTGCACTTCTTGTCATGTCACTGCCATCGCAGAAAACTGGGATTGTTTGAAATCAGGAGTTAAGAATGTGTATTGCTGTTATTGCATGCAAACAAATGCTCCTGAAATCTCCTCTGGAAAGTTGCTTTATTGTGCTACTAGTGGTCAAAAACTGCACAGGAGTACCCTTTTAAATTTTAATGATGCAACCTGATTTCATACATCACTAGTTTGAAACAAGCTAGTATCTAATAAAGAATGGGTTCACAGACAGAGTAATGGATTTGTAAATCGCTTGTGGAGCCTTATCCCCGGAATTCAACATTCCTTGGGTTCCATCAGGGGTGTGCTGGAAACCCAGTAATAAGGTCGAGTTGGGAAAGTAGAAACCAGCAGGGGTAAAGAAGGAGTGGAATAAACAGGATGAGGTTCCAGAAAGGTGAGAGTGAGAGAAGGAGAAGCAGAAGAGGTGAGTGAAGTGAGCAGAGGAGCAGGAAGTAATAGGCTGAGAGAGGGCGAACACAACAGGGAGGTGTGACGCTGTTAAGAGGAAGACGGGAAGGCTGGGTGGTTAACTTTCAACACGAACGGGGAGAGAAATCAAAGAGCTCTTTGTAACAAGTCCCAAGGTTGGTTGTAGCGATTTGTGAATAAGATGCGTCTATTTGCATATTTTTGTCAAAGGGAAAAATATTAAAATGTATCCATGTGTGTTGATGTCTCCCTGCAGGATGTGGATGCATCAGAGATCAAAGTCCAAGTGTGTGTGTACGCCTTTGACCTCCTCTACCTCAATGGCGAGGTAAGGCCTAGTGATGATGAAAATGTTTCCCAGAGATCTCTTAAAACACTCCTGTTTTCTTTCTTTAAACCGCTGCGCGTGTTTATTGTTTGTGAGTACCCGCGTGCTCGTCGCCCGCCAAGTTGCCAGCGTCGTCCCTGAATGCCAATGATGCTGCTTCTGGAGGCCGTAACTACATAATGATTGTAATGCTCATTGTAATTCCGACGGGGTGTGTGTGCGTGTGTGTGGGTAGGTGTGTGTCTGTCTGTCTGAGAGTGTATGTGTTGTGGGTGGTAACTGTGGCTGAGTGTGGGATAGAGTATATGTTTCTATCCAAATAAAGCTTAGTTTTTAAGCACATTTCTTAAGACTGCTAAAGAAAATCCTAATTACTGTTTCCATCTTCCGGTGCCATGTGAGTTTTCCCAAGTGGACAGAAACAAAATTATGTAATTAAAAGACCAATACTGTCTTCTTAAGTTGTGCCATTTCATTGCTACTTCCTCCTAATATGGCATTTATGCAAATGTGATGAATTATTTTTTCTCTGTATATGCATACTTTGTCTTCTTTATGGCTGTTGCCCTTTATTTATTAATTTCTTTTTTCTTTATCTCTCTCCTCGATTAATTGGAAACATCCAATTGCCTTTGCCCTATAGTCCTTGTCATTGCTAACACTGTTGTTGTCCTGGGAGGGTTTTTTAATGCTATTCACACCAGCTACCTCCCCTGCTAAGGCCTGACCAACCAGCAAGAGCTATTAGTCAGCAGTCGCCACCACACAGGACACCAAGGTCATGTCCTTGGTGCTATTTTTTAAATTATTTATCTACTTTAGGGACCTAATATTACACATACACTGCATATGCTCATTTTGTTGGGTTCATATTTTTAAGGCAAGAATATAAAAGGAGGGAAAATAAATAAATTTGTGGTTTTAACGCACTGGGGTAAACGGATTTGTATGACTCATACAAAGCTTTCTATGAGCACTGGCTGGCAGCTGTACAGCAAACTACTAGTTCAAGTCCAGCTTCATCTGTCTCATTATCCTTTGAGATTTCTCTCCTTTGGTGGATTTGAACTTGCTCTTTTTATAAATAGGTCTTGATTCCATGTAGTGACACAAGTCCTCCTGAGTTTGAACACAAAATACTTCCCAAACTTCAATTTATCACTGGCAACACAGCCTCCATAACTCTTGTGCAGAAAGGAGACAGAAGAACAGCACAGAGAATGGGGGGGAAAAAAATAAACTTTGTAAAGAGTCACAGAAATTCTCTCTTTAGATAAATGTAGATAATTTTGTAGATATGGCAGATTGGCAGAGGTCAAGGAGCTGTTGACAACTAGGCTAGAACTTCTCGCAATAATGGATATGAATTAATATGTTTTTTTATTTACAGATGGGTATGTTCACTCTTACTGTAAAACATTAAAACATTTACAACCCTGTGGGGCACTGCAGGCATGGCACTTAGAATTTGAAAAGTAAAAAAAAAAATAACTGTAATAATCTACGATTTGCTGATGAATTGTGTTGACTTGCATTTAAGTAAAATTCAAGAATGTTGGAGGGCTAGAACTTTTTTCACCTTCTGAAATTGGGCATGCTAGAAAAAGTTTGAGAACCCCTGGTGTACATGATGAAATGATAGTGAATGTAGCACCAAACTTGGCCCTTTAAAGTCTTCTCCCCCCTCGTGCTCGCTGCTATATACTGCTATATATTCTTGCAAAATACCAGGTGCATGTCCAACAACCTCTATGCCATAGCACACTTCAGCTTTGTATTAATGCATGTCACCATGTGACAATATGCCAAAGTCCTATTTCAGAGCAATGACATGTATAAAGACAAGAGCATCATTAAGGATTGGCATTGCCTAGCTGTTGTGCCAAGCTACTGTCAGAGTGTATAAATCCATGTGCTGCCAACTACAGGCAATTGACACATGTCAAATGACAATATAGATGTAAAATTTACCTCAATTATAATCAAAAAGTCAAAAGTAGACATAATGTGAAGATGTTTAAAAAAATGTAATTCCAGTCAAAATCTGAACTCCTAAGGGTATCAGCTTCCCACAAGCTTTTGGAGTTTCTGGTCAGACAGAAATTGCAGCAGCATTTCAGTGCTGCGACTAAGCTGAATAAAATGAAGCATAAAAAAAAACCTTGCAGTGTCATCATTAATTGATGAAACCTGCATCTGTTGACCTTTAATGTATTGTCCTCTTGTCAATGCTGTATGTGGGTGCTTTGCTGCTTTAGCCAAGTGTTGGCTGACTTGTGATATTTAGGAGAATATGTGGCCTTTTCAGTTATTTTTAACAGATAAATTAAACTCTAGTAGATGGTTAGAATCATCCTCACAAAGAACGTGTGGAACGAAAGGTTGGCTGTGCCGTAGCGTAGCTTGCACCAAACTCGTTACGTGTCTCTACCTAGAAATGTTGTGAACCAACTTTTGTAAAACAAAATGTAAAATGTAATAGGCTGTAATTATTTTGTTAATGCAAAAGCAGCAGCCTTTTGGTCTGCCAGTATGACATTTCCTTGTTTTCAGAGCTCCACCAATCTGTGCGTAGACGGTTCTGTTTTCTGAGTTGCAGTAATTTCAGTAAAAGCAGTGATTTTCAAATAAAGCTCACACCTGTCACCTCACAGTTTTTTGTTTTTTTTTGTCAGTCAAATGAATTAAAATAAAAGTTCAGTATCAGTGAAATTCCCCCCGACAAAATATAGTTGTTCAACTTCACTCCACATTTTCCCCTCCCGCAGCCCGCTGGCAGCGGCCCTCCAGTTCCCTTACAGGTTGAGGAAAAATTGCAGTAAGCCTCTGTTTATCTCGTACAAGCTTCAATCGCCATTGATTGTGGAAAAGTATATATATGTAAGTGCAAAAGAAAGTCAATACTGTAGCATAGAACAATCACCGAAGGTGTAATTGCAGAACGTTGCAGGCTGCTTCGGCCTCATTATCTGCATACATTTCGAGTAAGGGTATAAATCGTGCATATGACTGCATGTTCTGCAGATTTAAAGCTGCTCGTGTGTGTGGCTGTGCGTGCACATGTATACGTGTGGGTGTTTGTATGTGTGCCCAAAGCTGCCGTGGCTGTGTGTCTGTGAGTATACTCTGAGACTGTGTGTTTGTGTATGAGTGGGTAGATGGTTGAGATGGCATTTCATCCTTGTCATCGCAAGGCTCCGAGCTATAGAGAGAAAATGGTTGTAATGATACAGTTTTGCCATTTGTAATTGTGTATGTGTTTCTGTGTGTGTTGTGTTTAGTCCCTGGTGCGACAGCCATTGTGTCGGCGTCGGGCTCTACTGAGAGAAAGCTTCTCAGAGGTGGAGGGAGAGTTTGTGTTTGCCCGATCCATCGACTCCGACAACACCGACACCATCGCCGAGTTCCTGGAGCAATCTGTCCGAGGTGTGTGTGTGTGTGCGTATGCGTGCCGGTTAGATGGAGACAGGCTTTCTTACTTGTTTTCCTTCCTGCTGTCTCTTTGTGTCTCATAACTTTTTTGTGTGTGCACCGACTGTGTACTTTTTTTCCTCGCCTGCTGTCCCTGTGCATCTTGAACCTTTTTGTGTGTGTGTGGGTGTGCTGTGCGAGAGATTCATTTCATTTGTGATTTTGTGCGAGGGCTTTGTGTGTAGTAGTCGTCCTTTCCCTGCATGCCGTCCCTTTGTTTGCCGTGTGTGTTTGTTGTGTTGTGTGTTTGCATAAGAGAGACAGGACTTGTTAGTTGTGTAATTGAATTTTCTTGCGTTGTGTCTGTCTGGCTCTGTTTATGAGGAAGCACATAGAGCTGTGTTTCCCGTGCGTCTCTTTGAGTTATACGCCAGTGTCCTTGTCCACTGGCTGTCTTTGTGTCCTCAACCTGCTTTTGTTTTGTGTATTTCAAAAGAAAACAAAGACCTTTTATGTATCTGAAAGATAATCTCTTAATTTCCTTTCTGCGTAGCAGGACTCGTGAGTTGGAGTATTAATCTGTTTGTGTGTTTAGACTCCTGCGAGGGCCTCATGGTGAAGACTCTAGAGAAGGATGCCACCTATGAAATTGCCAAGCGCTCTCATAATTGGCTCAAGGTGTGTGTTTATGTGTGGTCATGCGCTTCAGTTTTGTTACCCATTAATCATTTACATTCACGTTACACACACACTGCCTAACAACGTGGATGTGCACTTACCCTATCATAAAGTTATGACACAAACACACATATATAGAGTGACTATAGAAAGACCATTATTTGCTTCATGGTATGCTTGGAAAGCCCCAACATTTGCCAAGTAAAATGCCAAATCGTACTTGATTTAAAGGTAAAGCCTTCAAGGTCATCTTATCTTGCACTCCCCGGAAGTCCCGTTCTTACCCTGAACTGCAGACAAGCCCAAAACAAACAACTTTCACAACTTCTTTGTCAAACTGACATGACTTTCAGTCGTTGGATCAGTAATGGCGATGAGAGCTAAGACTCTGGCTACAACCCAAGCAATTTTTAAAGGTTTCCACTTGAGGAATCTGCAGTTTTTCAAGCCCACAGGTAATATGTCAGATGTAGAGTACAATCAGAAGCTTGCTGATTTGATATTTGCTGTTTATTTTTGTTTTGTTTATTTGCTTATGCCATCGTGAAGCAGCCATCATCTGTCTTTCTATAATTCAAAAGAATCGCTGCTCAAACTGGAAACACAATGATCACCTAATTGGTCTTCATCCAAAAACAATTATCTTCTAATGAGTCCAAGCTGTGCTCAAGATCACTTTTGCCATTTTACAGGCACTTTCCTCACATAACCTTCATGCACACGATTTACACTTTTACCAAATTCTTACTCCTGATCTTTTTAACAATATTTAATAAAGCTAACATAGCTTGATTCTGTTGGATTTTTCATATTCAACAAACTTACAGAAATGCCAAATTATTTATTAGCACATGTTGCATACAGATGGAGATGAGCATGATCATAGATGAGGTGATCATGTTGGTTGAGACCTTAATATTACTAATTATACTTTTACTATTATACTAATACCAATAATGACCAATTCCATGAGGTGCTAATGAGGAAAATGAATTACTATGTCACTGATTTATAAGTTTGATATTCACATGGATGTGGACTGTGACTTCATCTCTAATGGTGAGATTTTCAATGCCTAGCTCTGTTCAAGTGAAAAGATTAATCAGAAACATGAACTTTGCAGCAGCATCTGTAAGCACTCAGCATACCTAGACAGCCTTCGCTCACCAGATTTGCCTTCTTGAGACCTTTTTGAGACTTCCTTTTCTCCAAAATGATGGTCAAGTTTAACGAGCGCCATTTTTTCACACTGGAGAAGTTCCAGTATACGTCATAGAAGTGCAAGAACAAGGGGAGGGAACGGGACTGAAAGAGGGTGATCTCAAAATGCCTTTAACACCAAAGGTGTGCAGAGGTGCACGATGAGACAGCCTTGAAGGGAATATCTGCCGAGTCGAAATAACGTTTTCGATTTTCAGCATCAAAGTCTAGGATTTTTTTTATCCGTACCTGGTATTCTAATTACAGACATTTTTTTTTCTCAGGTTTCTGCTCAGAAATATAAACACAGATAAGTGTAACAGATTTTGAATTTGGGGGTTTTTTTTTGCACACCAAAGTTGATTACACTGTTGTTTAAAACGGTTTCATCCTAACTGAGTTTGAATTTCTGGAGGACATTTTTAAACTATCAGGTTTTCAACTAATTCACGCAGCATTCAAAAAACTGTGACGGTTCATACACTATAATATATATATTTTTAAATTGCAGACATTTAAAGTCGCACATTTTATTTGCCTGTGTTGAACAATGACCAAAACCTGGGGTGATTTATACATGAATGTATTTCTCGCTTGCTGTTATCCTCCCCCAGTTGAAGAAGGACTACTTGGAGGGAGTTGGAGACACAGTGGACCTGTGTGTGATTGGGGCCTATCTGGGGAAAGGAAAAAGGACAGGCACCTATGGGGGCTTCCTGCTGGCTTGTTACGATGAAGAAAATGAAGAGTTCCAGTCCGTCTGCAAGGTGTGTGTGTGTTTTTTGTCTTATGTCTATGTAAAAAAAAACATAGGCATCCTGTAAGGAATATCTTCGCTCTATAAACATCTTTGAATGGCCTTGCATTCCTGGTGTTCCACATTAAACGTCTCCAGAGACACTATTTTAATATTTTCATCCAGAACAAGTGTGTCAACATTTCCAGGCAGCTGTTGAGTCCTTCAACTCAAAATGTTAATCAGTGTAATTAAATTTTGACCTGTGGCTTTTGATGCATGTAAACGTGTGATTTGTGGGAGGATAGTGAGAAAAGGTCTTTAATAGTGCAGCTAATTTTCTGCTTAAAGATAATTAATTTTGACATATTTTATTGTTTGTCTTCTGTGCAATGCATATTTCACATCTTTGTATTAAGGTGCTCTAGAGTGTGGAGTGTTAATTAAGTGCGAAGGTTTTTCTGTGTGTATGTGTGCTGCTTTTGCCTCTTATGTGTGTGGGAGCTGTGTTTTTGAGTCTGTTTCGTGCTTTGAACTGTCGTGCTTCCCCTCAAATCCGAGTTAGAGGAAAATCGTTGTGTCCACAAGTGTGGAGGTGTGACTGGATGCATCTTGGAATAAGGTGTAAGCATATATTGGAACATGCGTGACCACTTCAGTGTGTGTATTTGTACGTGTGTGAGATAATGACAGTGTGAACAAGTCAGAGTATCACTCCAGCACAGAGCATAAATTCAGCCTCTTCTCTGTCCTCCTAAAACCTTTCATCTCCATTTTTTTTCCGTCTCTATAACTTTTATGTCTTTATCCGGAGAAAAGGGATTTAGAGAGCAGCGAACACACACACACTCTTTCTACAACATCTACTTACACACATTCACACCTGGGAGCTCATTGGTACAACCGCAGCGTTTACGCTTTTGGCCCATGAGATGCTCCAGTGGAGCCGATGGAGGTTAAAGCGACCGTTAAAGAGCCACGTTAACTTTTCGGGCAATGCTGGTAGTTTTCTCTTTTTCAAGCTTTTTCATCTGTAAATGGAGTTCATATTTGAGGTCACTATCCTGAGTAAGTACAGCCAGGCAGATGTACAGTGGGGGAAATAATTGTTTGATCCACTGCTAAATTTGTAAGTTTGCTCACTTACAAAGAAATGAACAGTTTGTGATGTTTGTAGTTGTTTCATTTTAATGGGGCGAGAACATCAACCAAAAATCCAGAAAAAAAACACGTAAAGGTTATAAATTGATTTGCATGTCAGTGAGTAAAATTGGTATTTTGTCCCCAAGCAAAACATGATTTAGTACTTGGTGTTTGCCAGTGAAAATCTAATTGATTCAGAGAAGGCGAGGGAGGAAGTGCTGTGGTCAGATGAAACCAAAATCAAACTCTGCCGTATTTGGAAGAAGAGAAATGCTGAGTACGGTCCTGAGTATGAAGATTGTCCTCACAGACAGGCACGGAGGTGGAAATGTTATGCTTTGGGGCTGTTTTTCTGATAAGGGTACTGGACGGAGCCATGAAAATCTTGGCTGAGAACATCTTTACTTTACCCAGAACACTTTAATGGGTTGTGTAACAATGACCGGCATATCGCTTAACATATTGCTAAGGCAGCAAAGGAAGAGGAAGCACATTAAAGTCATGGAGTGACCTCTGCAAACCTCAATCCTATAGAGAATCTGTGGACAGAGCTGAGGCTTTGATTTGCCAAGCGACAGCCAAGAAGCCTAAAACATTTATAGACTTTCTATAAAGAAGAAAGGGCCAAAATCCCTCCACAGATGTGTGTAAACCCACTGACTAACTGCAAGAAACAGCTTCCTCGCTGTGCTTTCCAACAAGGTTTTTTCCAAAAAGTACTGTTTAGTTTGGGAATCAAATGCTTATTTGAGTCAGTGATGTGCAAATCAATTTATAACTTTTATGTAATGGGTTTCATTTTCTAGATTTTTGGTTGGTGGTCTCTCTATTTATTAAAATGAAACTACCATAAAAATTAAAGACCATTCATTTCTTTGTAAATTGAACAGTTCCAAATTCGGCAGTGGGTGAAATAATTATTTCCCAAGCTGTGGATAACAAAAGATGGAGTGAAAATTGTAGAAGAAGTCTGGTTTTTAGCTCTTCATTGATTTTTCTATCTTTTCTTTTGCTCGTGTTGATTTTATTTGTAGTGCTTGAAAATGTTTGCATGTTCTCCCCGTGTTTGCGTGGGTTCTCTCCGGGTACTCCGGCTTCCTCCCACCGTCCAAAGACATGCAGCTTGTGGGGATAGGTTAATTGATTAATCCAAATTGTCACTAGGTGTGAATGTGCGAGTGAATGTGAGTGTGAATGGTTGTCTGTCCCTGTGTGTTAGCCCTGCGACAGACTGGCGACCTGTCCAGGGTGTACCCCGCCTTTCGCCCTATGACAGCTGGGATAGGCTCCAGCGCCCCCCGCGACCCTGAAAAGGATAAGCGGAAGCGAATGGATGGATGGATGGATGGATGCTTGAAAATCCTTCATTTTTAGGAGAATTTTTCAGTACATTGTCAGTAATTCCTTGTTTTAGTTTTCCAGTTCAAAGATCCAAATGTCAAAAATGCTGAATGAGCCACAGAGGTGACAGGTTTACAACTATCCTGTCAGCTTGGCCTGCAGCGTCCAGTCTTGCTCATATGTTTTAATCCTCCCAACTCTTACTCTCACTTGTCCAGAGTTTGGCTAATTTCAGATCAGATAAAATCTCCAACTGTGTATTGCACTTGCCCCCGTTTTATTTGAGCTCATTTATGTGAAGAACAAACAATTACATCTATAGCTTCTCTTCTCAGAAGGAGAGGTACAACACACACACATCATGCCCTTGTGTGTCCTGGCTGAAGAAACCTGTATTCACACCTTTGACCTGTGATGACATGCGTTCGTATAGCCCCTCTCGTCAATCATCCCTCAGTTCAATAGCTGCTCTTCACCAAGCCAAGCTGCGGGGCGGAGGAACCTTGTGTTGGACCTCGTTCCTCTCCTTCAGGGAACAGAAGATACAAAAGTAACTGTCTGTTCCCTTTCAGCTGATTCACTCCGTACAACACATATAGTATGGGACATATATACATGCCCTGCAGAGCAGCTACTGAACTGGAGTTGGAGCACCAGCATCTTAAGGATAACATGAGCTGTAATGTACAAATGATAAAACCAAACAAAAGTGTGCGGTGATGCCCAACTAGCTGCAGCACAAATATCACCTACAGTTACAGCTTTAAAAAGAGCCTAGGAGTTTGCCCTGGTGGAATGAGCTCCTATACCCTGGGGCGAAGCGAGACCCTTGGTGCTGTATGCCGGTGAGAGAGCATCTGTAATCCAGTGGGACAGCCTCTGTTTACACAGAGCTCTACCTCTGGCTAGATACGCAAAGCATGAGCTCGATGAATCCAGCTGTGACGCGGAGAATCTGTTGTGCTTAGACAGCAGTGTTGCAGGGCCACCGGCACCATGATAAGCAGCCAGGGACGGCTCCATGTATCGTCCATAGTGACCGTGATGATCACTGTTGTCCATAGAGAAACAGCGTCTCAGAGGACAGGAGCGAACAGTAGATTTCTGCTTTCCTTGCTTCTGTTTAGCATCCATACCAAAACGCAAAGCAAAGCACTGCACAGGAAGACTCTAAATTGGCGCCTTGCGGGCAAACTACACACCAACTGTGCGGTGGAAGCTAACACCAACAGGGTTAGTTAAACTAACTTAAAGCAGTCAGACAACAGAGATAACTAGGAGTAGATAGTTATCCCAACTCAGTAGAAATGTTTTTAGCGAGATGACGAGGATAAGAACTGAGGGATGACTGTGATGACATGGGGTATATGTGTAGGCGGGGCGTGATGTCCCATACAATATGTGCTGTACTGACTAAATTCTCTGACATGCAACTTGGCAGTTACACTTTGTGCTTTTCTAAAGTCATGTTGGAGCATCACCTCCTCCATGCACAGTAACTTTAAAAATATTTTTAAAAAATACACGGGGACAGTCTTCAAAAGCCAGAGCCAAAAACTGTATAACTAAGTTGCAAGCTGACTGACTGATGTTTTGGCACTTATTGGGCTACTTGTTATATATCAGGCTTGGAAACATTTTGGACTTTGTAGGCAGTGTCATTCATTTTCCATTTTTATTCATGTTGACACATAAAACATGGGAAAGAAAGATGTAAGTGTTGCTGACACTCTCACAGACGTAAAGGCTTAACAAAGCCAATGTTTTCTGGACAGATGCCTTTTTTTCATTAACAGTAAATTTCAGCAAAAGTTCTCAAAGACGAAGGGCGTCATTTAAACCATGTTTACAGAGGAGGCCCTTCAGTTGACTGAGGCAGTCAGGCATTACTTTAGGTCACCTGTGTTTACAGGGTCTTTAGAAAGTCTTAAAATGACTTTAACAAGTAATCAAAAGGCCTAAAGATTATTAAACTGTCTTAAATTTTTTAGGTCACCATGAGAATTTTCACAACTCAGTGGCACTATTCTTGCCTCAAGGACACATTAGATCACATATAGCTGTATTGTTGACTTATTTTTAGGCTCTACTTCAGAAGGAAAGTACCAAATCAATCAAATGACTCATTTAACTGTCTTTGGTGAACAAATGCAATATCAGCCTAACCAACGCCAAGAGAAGTGGGGGTATTGCCAGTGGTGCAGCACCTCCAATTGCAAAAGGAAAACTGGGGGTAAAATAAATTAAATTAAATAAACAAAAGTACCTTTTGTTTCCCCCTTATAAAAGCATCATGGTTAAATGACGTTACTGGACATCCCTAGAAGTGGTGCATTTTTCAAAATTAGCTATCAGCCAGTACCTCTCACTAGCTAAATGTCCTCATCGACATTTATTGCCTAAACTTCTGAGCACCAAGTCACATTTAGAGTATTATAACCTGCACCCAGATGAAGGTCAGGCTTTGGCTTATGAGCTGCCGCTGTGCAGTTTAACATTGTAATCAAGCAGTAATTTCACAGTTCTGCCTTTGTTACCAAAAGGGTACTTATAAATTTGGCTCCATATTTTGATAGGTTTTGGTCAGCAGTGCACAAATAGTTTTATTGTATGTCTTCACTGCTTCGTCTTAACAAACCTCATAGTATGACTGATGTGTGTGTCCGTCGTGTGCAGTTTACTTAGTGTTCTGTTGTGTGCAAGCCACTGTATTTTTTCTCGGCTGTTCTGAGCGGTTCAGTTCAGTTTTGGGTGTTTTGCAGGACTGATAACCTTTGTAACACACTACAGCACCCCCACCTTCAAGGCCCTTCCCACGGCTCTAAGCGAAGTGTCTGACTGTAAAACAGTCTTAACATTTTTCCTGATTTCTTTTTCCACTCATTTGCAACTTCTTTAAAGGGCATTTAGCTTTCAAAGGCTTTTTGTTGTTTAAGATGACCAACTTTAACTGTGGTTAAGCTAGACTTGTAGTCAAGACCGCCTAAACCAAGAGGGTATCGGTCTCGAGACATCCAACTCTAGGCTAAGCTGATAGTTCACTTTGAATGTCTGGGCTCAATTGAAAAGTATTATTAGATGGGTCTGAAAGTCATGTAACGTGTTGAACTTGCATTTCAGTTTGAGCAGCACTCAACTCCTGCAGTTGTTTTTGTACAATGAAAGAAAAAAAATACTTCAGATCATGTTTCCTGTCTAAACGTCTCACGTGGACAGCTATGTTCAGTAAAGTTGGAGTGTACATACTTTTTCACATGTGTACGAGATGAGTGAGCACATGGAAACACGCCGTTAATCTTTTCTGCAGTTGTCAGTGTGTGCCATGTGACTGCAGCATCCACTTCTCCTGTGTGCTGCACTCATCTTCCTTTTGCTCTCCAGTGTCAGCTAAACAACAAAGGAATAAATGTTTTGTCTTTGACATTGTACACTTCAGTAACCCTCTCTGTAGCCGAAAGCAGAATCTAAACCACATTTCCATCTCCCAAATGTAATTTCACCTGTATGTCCTGTGAAGTGTCCTTGAGTGAGCAGCAGATTTGGGAGCAGTGCTGCTGCTGTGGACACACAGTTCACACAGGCTGCTGTCACAGAGAAGAAAAGGGACACTAATGAAATGGAAGGTGACAGCTGAGAGATACATTTAGCTATTTACAGTCATTTAAATGATTAAAACAAGTGCTTGTAAAGTAATTGTGCACAATGAGAAACCAGCACTTATACACAGTTAAGACTGACTCAGTGGTAATTTGTTAATGACCAGTACTGAAATACTGTAGTATTGAGGAAAACAAGATCTAAATCTCAGTCTTCTCCACTTTATGTCGACAGTTTATTAATGTAGCCTTTAATCTGCTAGGTTTTTCTAACAAATACTGGTAGTTATGTCAACACGCATCTCATTAAATGATTGTTTGTTGAGTCTGTCTCTGTGAGCCCATTAAAATACCTTAGAAGTGTATTTACAGTTTGCAGTCTTTGGCAGGAGCTTGATATTAGGCAGGCAGGAATGACTCAGAGCAGCAAGCTGAGAGGTTTTCGTCAGAATAGAAAAATAAGAAAGCGTATTGGAAAAGAAAAGTGCTGCCAAACAAATAGGACCTGAGCCACACAACCTTTTCTCCACCATGAAGAAATTGAAAACACACACCTCACAAACGCAAAATTCCCACATACGGGAGAAAGAAAATAGGAATTCAGAGCGTGCAAGAGACGAGGACATTGACGCACAGCTGTCAATGTTTAGTTTTGGATCCATTTTTATTAGTTTCAGTGTTTGTTTGTTACTAAAAGTAATATTAGGGCTAGTTGTCAGGGGCAGGATTTAGACCATGTATTAAAAATACAAACATTTTGTAAAAGCATTTGACATACAGTCGGTCTCAATGAACCGATGCCTCCTCGGGCATGTTTGGCAAGGCGAAAACTAAATAAAACCCATAGATTTCCATCTATTAACTCTGAGCTATTCAGTCCATCACAGGGCAAATGTGGATACAACCACATGTACCCACATTCTCACAGATGGTCACATAAGATATATTAACTTTCCAAGCATGGCTTTGTGGGAGGAAACCACAGGGAACCCATTCAGCCACAGTGAGCGCTCCATACTCCCCTCAATTGGATGGGGCATTCGTTTGAATCAGGAATTTTCTTGCTGTGACCGTGCTAAGTGCTTGTCCATGTTGCTGCTCATGTACTTCATTTCCACCTAAGTCAAGATATTTTTTTAATCTTCTTTGGTTTTTGTCATGTTTTAATTAAATATATTTTTTAAATTTGCAACATAGTGAGTCAGTGGGCTTGCAATGAAGCTCACAGTGATCTCCCTGTGTTTTGAGTTATAAAACCAAGAATTAAATCATCAAATTAAGAGTGTTTGCATAATGTAGTGGTTTAAATATTTATCTAACAAACAAATCCCTCTGTGGCTGTGACAGGAAGGGCATCCAGCATAACAATCGGGCAAATCAAACATGTGGACCTGGCTGTGGTCATCAAGAAAAGGAAGCTCAGCCCAGAACTACCAAAATATAATAATTAATTTTGCTTCGTTGTTGTTGTTGTGTTAAAAAATGTGAATGTTTGTGAGCATTGCTGTTTGCTTTTGTTAACTTGCACACAAACCCTTGTATTGATTGGATTAAGCTGCTGGGAGACTCTGATTATCCACAAAACAGACTAGTTGTACAGTAATTAGCTTACCTCTACTTCATGTGGAACAGGTGCTCTTAAAAATACATTGCAGTCGGCTTGGTAGAAGACTTGGCCAGCACAGATAACAAATGCATGAACACATGCTTGGATTAACCTCCAAATCTTCTTGAATGCTATAAAACACACAGTGAAGCCTATCATGGAGATCTGCAGAATACATGCAGATCTGTAAGCTGGGAAATCCTATATTTGCATGACACACCAGCCTGTTTTCCTCCCCCCTTATTCATTGGGTGATTCTTGTGCCTCAGCAGGCTCAGGTCTTTTGAGAGGTGACATGTTGCTTAATGTGAAGTAGGCAGACAAGATGCTCGTGGTGTAGGGAGGGATTTTCTTGCTGTTCTCTGTTTTGCAGCGTGCTGCCAAATGTCTGCTGCCTCACACACATCTAAGACGGAGTGTGTGTGTGTGTGTGTGTGTGTGTGTGTGTGTGTATATAGATGTGTGCGTGCCTCTTATCTCCTTTCGTCTCTTCCAGATCGGGACAGGCTTCAAGGATGAAGATCTGGAGCAGCATTACAAGTTCTTAAAGGTAAAGTGTCACAGCAAGGCTGTTGCACTTACTCTTTAAACAGCCACACTGTTGTTTCCTTACATTGATGTCTTGATTTTTTTTTCTTTCTTCCTCTTTTTTAAATCGCAAATGTACAGGAGCCAAATATTTAACTGTAGACTCAACAAGATTAGCTTTGTGTGATTTCAAAACAATCTTTATTTGTCTTATACTGGGCCTTGGTACAGTCTTTTCAAATTGGCTTTTTTAGTGCTTCCTTGAAGCTAGCTTTGCTCTGATAGACTGTCCCTCGCAAACATAAGGTTTGAATGGCCGGCTTCTCCACTCAAAGCCAGAGCTGTGTGCCTGAGGAGACCATACGAAGTATATATATATCCCATCTAACAGACTTCATTCAGAGATAACAGATGACAGTACTGTGTAAAGACATCTGAAGCTTCAGCTTTAGGATTACTTGAATTCATTGTTTGATAAGTACTTACTTGATGGTAACATAAACACAGACGCAGTGAATTTTAGATCAAAACCACAATGAGGTATTTGGGGGGTTGGAGCCATGAAATTCCACAACTATACATTCATAGATTATATTCTCTGTTCATTCAGTCTCTTCAGATATGAACCAAGATTTTAGTATCAAAATAATAGGACCAGTGTGCAGATAAACTCCTAAGTTACAACTTCATTTTGTAAACAGCACCTCGAGGATACCTTTAATTATCCAAAAGGAGAAAAGTAACAGGAATAAGCTCAGGGATTACAGATGTTTTCTACCCTCTAGGCTTATACACGTGTTACATCTTACCTAAAATAAGTTGCACGTGCCTTTCAGAGGTGTTCATTTGGTGTGTTTAGGAAATGCTGGGCTGGCACCAGGAATCACTTCTGTTTTACCAATGAAATAAAATGTGTTTAGTGAAACTGTGTTGGCGTGCTCTGAAGCTGGTTAATGAATTTCTTTTTCAATTTATATTTGAAGAGGTTTGCTCCAGAGCAGCAGAGCAGCAGAAGCATTTGAAGAAACTTGACAACTGCTCTCTGAAAATGATAGCCGTTACGAGAGTGTGAATTCATTTTTGTATTCTGCTGGCTTTATCAGCTAAATTTATTACTTCTTTTACAGGAATAAAAGAGACGGGGTTTTTAAAATACAGTCATCTATTTATAAAACAACGTAATCGTTATTTAATACAGACTGAGCAAACCTGGTGAACACCGTGGGGTTTTTTAAAACATCTCTTTTAGAGATTAAGGGGTTGAATTTGGTGTAACAAACTGCTGCACAGTGTAGAATCACTACAGTGAAGCAGTGATTTAGAAGGTGGTGTAACCTTTTTTCTTTTCTTTTTTTTCTTTGTGAGACCAATAGAGCCTGCACTGTGCTGCTTTGTAATGAAAGTGATGGATGGTGAATTAAGGAAGGCCAGTGGTGTGGCCGTGTTGCTTTAGTTGCAGCAGTGCTGCAAGCCGAAGGGACTCGAGACGGGGAGACGATTGGCTCGGTTCACAATCCCCTGGGTGGCGAGTTGCTGTGCTGTAACACCGGGAGCTGCTCCCCCCATTTTTCAGTCTAATCTTTATTCTGATGCTTGAAAATGATTAAGGGTAGTAGACGTTAGAGGCTGACTGATAGTGGAGTTTTGGGGGCCTGATGCAGAATCACGTTCGTTATAGATTTTAAGCAAAAGTACAATTTGACATTCAAATAAACTCTCCCAGAAATGATTTGGGAATGAGTTGGCACTTTTGAAGGAAAGATGCATTTTGTAACAAATGGCTAAATGAGACTCCAGAACTTTGGTGTCATTGATCTGAACAAAGCAGCTAAGCAGTGGTGACACTCACATTCAGTTGTTCGTAGCTTATTATTAACTGAAAATTACATTTAGGCTTCAAAAATCATAGAAGTGGTGTCAATTTGTGAGGAACAAACTACGTAAGTACCATGAACTTTTATTTTCTACATATTTTCTACATTAATCCAAAATGGTAGTGGGCAGTAAAGCCCAATTATATCATGAGATTTTGAAAATTTGCAAAAACCATATTTATGACAATAGAGGGGAAAGAATTTAACATTTCTTTGGTGATCTTAGCTCGCAGGCAGCAGCTTTTATGTGCAAACAAAATGAAGGGCATTTTCCATCCTCCTTTTCCATTGAGTTACTGTCATTGATGACGGACTACCTAATTTGAAGTGTAGCGTTCACAGCATTAATGTAGCAGTGAGACAGCCTTATATCCACTGACATGGCATAAGTCAACTGTAAGTACAATTGTAGTCTCGACAGGAAAAGCAACTTAACCTTGTAATTCCACAGGAGCCTGCACAATATGATCACATAATAAAGTATAAATCTAAAAATAATTTTTACCCAGGGTGTTTTAACTTGGGTTTATTTGAGCTGTTTAACCAGTTGCTTAAAGTCCTGCGTTACCGCTGTGTAACCGCATTAGTAATTTCCATCCACCATTGGCTCTTCTTGCCATATAGAGTGCAAGGAGTGAGTGCTCAAGCGATGCTCAGGTGAGTGAATGTTTACTTTTGCGTCACTGCTCTTATTTCGCTTTACCTGCCTTCGTAGCCTTGTAGTAGTCGGTGGTGTTTTTGCCTCAAGTGGTGAAACAAGTTCACTGTTCCCATTGTTAGCAGCAACATTTTTCTTGCATATTGCGTTATCATGTTATATTGGATGTCATTAAAGAAACTCCCTTTTTAAGTACTAAAATGACACTGCTCTCGCTCTCAGACATGCCTGGACTTTGTTGTCATCGTCGTGTGTTGCGTCACTTTATCATTTTATGTCATTATCATGATGTGACAGGTTTTTTTAACAAGTTAAAAGTATATTCATGGATAGTGTGATTCTGGCATAGGGTGGAGTCCTAACTCACAGGATGGCCTGCAAAAAACATTCCTGTAGCACTCTTTTTTTTTATCATTATTAATATCACGCATTCTTTGTGTTTTTCTTGTTTAATAATACTTGGAAAATGACTTTTGATGCCTTATTGTCACCTTCTGGTGGAAGCAATGTGTTATAGATTCAGGTACAACCAAGGGACAAATACGGTTTAAAATATATAACTAAAATATAGCATTTCAAAAGTTGGAAATCATCAATTGAATTTCAGTTTCTCATTCAGTGAACTGATAAAATGTTATTATTAGTATTCTGATCACACATTTCACATTATAAGCCTGGAACAGAGTTGATACCTAAATGCAGCTTCTGCTCGTCATTGCTGATCATGTGCTTAAAATGTTTTTAAGTAGAACTTCTTTTATTTTTTTTCAACTTACCGTTTCACATCATATAAGCCAAAATGTTCCACAGCAGGCACAAACTGCACAGTTTTCCCAGCAGTAACAACTGTACTTGATTATATAATTGCCACTCCACCTTAAATAAGTCACTTTACATGCCCCGAAGATGAGTTCTTCACTTGGTCCTCGGTGGTGTAAATACATTTAAATCAACATGAATAATTGCATGTAACTGAAATAGCTCACACACCTTTTTAGGCTTGTGTGATGTGTAATTATGATGCTCTGGAAGGCGTGTAAAATTGCAATATTACAGTTTTATTAACTCCACCTAATACTTGACCCATCTAATGATTACAATAATAACTCTATCTATTATATAGCTGTATCTGTGTATCCCCAAGTATAACTGAAAGGCCACAGGTTTGAGCTCCGACAGAACTCAATATTTTATAAGACTCTACACGCCTACCAGCTCATGCATTGTAATTCACTCTGTATTGGAGTGTCACTTGAATGCCCACAGTATAAATAATGTGTGCGGGGAAACAGCACCGCTACAGCTGGAGCTTTCTTTCCCCCAGAATTATTTAACTATGACCCAGTTCTGTGGACACTGCAGCAGTCTCGTTAACATTAAACCGTTTCAGAGGCACATTCGCTGAAATGGCTGTTTCACGCCAAAACAAGATGGGTATCATTTTGTAAAAGACTGACACCTACGCTGACAGAATGATTGCTCGTGTCAAAGTTAAAATGGTACTATTAAATATTGCAGAAGTTGGCTCTTTTTATTTTTCTCGGTCGCCTCGCGGGAACAGAAACAGTTTGGCGGTGAAGCCTGCGAGGTAAATATCGAGTTTAAAATAAGGAGAAAAAAAGTGCAGTATATCAGGCTGCTTCTAAATGAAATCTGTCGTGTAGGTGTGTGATAATGTGTCTTTGAAATCATGTTGCCCCCACCAAGAAATATGGGAGTGCTCAGACTGTGTCTGCCTCTTGGGATGTGGTTTTTGAGACACGGCACAATTCAGCAGGGCAACCAGAAGCGCTCCATCACTGTCTTTTTTACCAGGTTCTCTGTACATGCATTGCCTATTTTTACACTGTGCATATTTGCATGTACACTGTACGTACACTCTAGTTGTTTTCAGATGTGGGATACATAACACTGCTGGCTTCATCAGTTTGTTCAAATGATGGCAGTCTTTCATTTCGGGATGAGTCACTTTTTTCATGCTTTCCTTCAGACACCCACGGCATTGGGTGCATGCGTGGGATAAAGTACTCTGAAGGAGATTTTAACAGTATATCAGTTGACAAACAATGCATGAGGTCAAAGTTTTATTGTCATGACTGCTATATTTCAACAGCTGCTTTAATAAGAAGAGTTGCTGCTTACTATATTTAAACATGGAAAGGAGAATATCGGCACGAATAGAAACTTACCAGACTTGAATTTGCCCAAACTCCTTTTTAAGGTCAGCTATTTGGGCCATTTTAGATGCTTCCTTAAATCCCACTATGCACCTAAAACTCTAAGCAAACATTTATGTGTAAAGCCAGGACTTTTTGAATATACCTCGTATTGAACTCTATGCTGTTTTTAAACAACAGCCAGTGCCACCCAATGCTCCCTTTCTAGACAGCCCTGTGCATAAGTTCATGCAACTGCTGGACTCATATTGTCATTTAAGGTCAACTGAGCACCTGTTGGTAACAGTTGTTGCAAAATGTTGCTGAAGTACATTGACATTCCTTTGCTGGTTGCCTTATTGCTGCTAGTCTCTTCCTGTGTGGACGCTGCTCTATTGATGGATTTTGTTGCCGTCTGATGCTGCAGGGATGTAATAAACCTGAACTAACTGACCTCTAATCCAGTTAACTCGGTGTATATGCACAAACTGAGGGCATATAAATTGTCTTATGCAAACTGGCTTGGTACTGAGTGGCGTTAAAAAGTCAGATGCTAAAAGTAATCTGGTAGTGCCTGTCTGATTATGTGACTACATGCATTCAGTTTATGCTGTGCTAAAAGTAAAAATGTTATCTCATCCAACTTGGATTCCAATCACGACATTTTATGTGTGACCGAGTGCCCTGCACAAGCTGTCCATATCTGAAGAGTTTTGAGTTTGAAACGTTTATATAATTGTACTGTAAGAAGAACAAATTTGAGTTCTTTTGAAGAAGTCACCATTAATTCTGGGTACATATTTCTAACATTTATCTAACGTTTTATTCTTAAGTTGGATAATTTAGTGATTTAATCATTAATTTTTCATTTTATGTTCTCTAGGAGCACATCCTGCCCAAGCCCCGTGCTTACTACCGCGTTGACCAATCAGCCGAGCCCGACGTGTGGCTGGATGCTGTGCAGGTTTGGGAGGTGAAGTGCGCTGACCTCTCACTGTCTCCGGTCTACAAAGCTGCAATGGGAATGGTCAGTTCAGTGTCTTAATCCGCCCTCCATGTGTTTCCACTGATAAATTCTGCCTGTTATGCTCTGTTGCCTACAGTGAAAAGTCATAATTAGTGCCTCTTAATTGAGTTATTAAAAATGTTGTAAAAGCGTCCGGTTTTAATAGAACAGATACTTGTTTATTACCCGTGGTTTGGCTGCATGTTAGATGCAGAGTCCCTCAGCGCAAATAAAAAAGGTTTGCCAGAATATAGCTCCCGTTTTAACAGCAGGCAAAGTAAAACAACAGTGGGATGGATAAAACGCTACCATTAATTAAAAAAAATCTGGTGTGAAATTTGCCAGGTGTTGCGTTCGTTCTCTCTATACATCGTATTTTTTAAACAGTTGAATATCAGATGTTTGGATGAGTAACCAAAAAGAGGATTAGCAGTATCAGTTCTTTTAATACCGTGATCCCCAGGATGGTTTTGACAGGTAATTTGTAAGATTACCCTGAGGCTTCACACATAATGTGGCTACAACTTTCTGCGATAGTCAGTAGCTTGAAAAAGAGTGTATACTTTCTGAGATATTAGAGCAGTGCAATTTGATGTAACTAAAAGTGCTATGTGGATTTGCTAATGATGTTCATCCACTCTGTGTACGTGAAGCTCGAGCAGCTCATGTGAACAGCTCAGGTACTTATGAACAGAATGGTCATCATGCTTTGCTGGGACCCTCGCTAATTCATGTGCTGTTATGGTGGTCTAAGCCAGTTTCCCAACTTTTTAAAAGCCAAAGTTTCAAGGCACAGCAAAAAAATAGCCTGTACTTACTGCAAATTGTACGAAAAGCTTTAAAGATTGAATTGATAGGTCAGATTATTGTCAATGTTGTATACTTATTCGTTCCATTTGACCCCCCAAATTTACATAAAAACCCTTTCACATTTGATAAACTGTAAGTACAGGTCTGAAAATTTTTAAACACACCCTTCACATTCACTATATCTGCATTGTCAAGCAGCCTTGGTTGAAAATGTACAGTACAATTTCTAAAGCCAGTAAAATACTAAACAAGGCAAATAATTCAAAGAGGTTTTTGGAACCGGAGTAAAAAGAGTTGATGTTTCCAAACCTTGAGCTAGCAGGGCTTGAATATCTTTCAGTGCATGTTAGTCAACAAAATATCCAGTACGTGGGGTATGTTAGAAGTAGCAACAAATGATAACTCAGTATCACAGGTCGTTTGCTGGATTTAATTATAATTCTTGTGATCTGCTTTTCTTCAGGTGGATCCAGAGAAGGGCATTTCTCTGAGGTTCCCTCGCTTCCTTAGGATTAGAGACGACAAGAAGCCCGAGGACGCCACGGCCGCAGCTCAGGTACATTAGATCAGTACTGGTCCCCCCTCCATGTCAGATCTCTTATAGGACTAGAAAATATGAAGGATCATGAGGTCAAAGAAGGAAGATCGTGGCCTAGTAAAATTCAGTCATACGCTTGTTTGACCGTGTTGTATAGAAAAGCATCATCATCACTACGGTCGCTTCACAAGAGCTGTCCTGTAAAATTTCATGGGTGAATAGCACTCCAAGGACAGTCTTTTTTTTATATACAGGAATTGGTTTATGTAATGGTCTCCTGCTGCATGTCGAACAGAGCTGTATTACAGTCAGTTAAAGCAGTGTTGGTTTCGGAGAAATATATTTGTGTTTGACATAACTCGCAGAAAGTTTTGCCAGAACACAAATCAACTTTCAGCGGTTTGCTGCCTGCCTCTGAATGACCTGACTGCTGACCCATGAGCATATAAAATTCTTATCACTATGCTGACCTGAGTTACAGGACTGTATATGGACTGTATACTTTATACAGTAAATGTCATGTACATACAAATATTTTTATGTTTTGGTTTTTCTCCTAGATTGTACTATTAGTGAAATAATGGTAAATATTGATATATATTGGAATATTACCATAAAATACTGCAACTTGTACTTAACTATTTTATGTCTTGGGGCTAAAACTGCCAAATATTTCTTCTGTAATCCCTCTTATATAGTGCCAGTGTATATACAAGTAATCAGCTTAAAGCTCTAAAGTGCTTTTCTAAAAACTGTGTTTTAGACAGTTTTTTTTCTACTCTTGCATTTGTTTTCTGTTTGTTTTCCAGTAATACAAATATGGGTTTGAATGTGAATAAAACAAAGTTACTCTTAATGGAGTCAAAGTATTAAAAATATGGAGGTGGAAATGAGCTTAATAATGAACCCTTAAAATGTGAAATGCACAAAATAAAATAAAGTGTCCAATTCTTGTCAATTAACCTAAACATTAGGGTAAGATACTTACCAAAGATGTGATTTCATGCACTTTTCAGACTTTCAGCTGTTCTTCAATTACAATGTCGACGTAGAAAAGATCAAAATAGACATGAAGGTGTTTTTTGTTTAACTTACTACCTTGTCTGTTGGGCCTATGTGTCTGAAACCAGAAGTCTCCACTTCTGTGTTAACATGCACCAGAATGTCTTTATGATGTCTGAAACTCGTACTGAAGTCTCCATGTTTATTTCTTTCTGTATTCTCAAAGTTTTGTTTTCTGAAGGTTGCTTTCATGTATCATTCATAGCCTGACTTATAGAGCATCTTACCTGAAAACAACATTGATATTTTTTATGTCCTCCTCCTGTTGACCGTGTTTTCTGATTCACGGCATGATATAAAGAGATCCCCTACGTTCAAAACCGTTTGACTCTAACAAGTCAACAAAATGAAACGAGATTTTTAAAGTTTGATTCCCTGCTAAACATTTTACGACATGATTTCTTGCATCATGCATCGCCTTAGATGCACCAGCTCTGAAACGCCGGGAAAATCCATGCCAGGTTCATTGTAGTGTAACACCACCTGCGCCCAAACTTGTGTAGCATTTCTAAAGACTGAACTACAATAAAATGTTAATATTCACTGAGTTGAATCAATGCCCATCTGTTACTTATAGAGTGTAGATATAGGCGTTTACGGCAGGGAGTCAAGTCAGAACATCAGCCGCATTAAAATGATGCTTCTGTCAGTTTTCATCAGTTAAGATGCACACACGCTCATTAGCACAGCACATCGGTTCACGTTGCCTGACGTAGCGCACGGTTTAAATAAAACTTAACCTCATTCGAGTCGGAGGGAATTAAGAAAACATGAAGACCAGCCAGAACATGTTGGATGCAACCACTTTTAGGCTGAGAATCAAAGCTTTACCTTGATCCTGCGGAGGAGAAATAATGTGATGTTTCATTGTTTTCCATCCTCACTGTGCCACCCTGCTGTACTGGTACTGATACTGCTGATTCTGGGTGGGCCTGCTGTTCGCGCATTATTCATTGTCCCGCCTTCCTCCTCCCTCGCCCCCGAACTCCGATGAGCCCAAGTGAGCGCAGCCCCCGTCTCGCACTCAGCAGCTGGGAGTCACCAACATCAAAGCCCAGCATATGAATAATCAAACTGATATTTTTAGCTTCTCCTCTTCATGTTTCTGACCTCACTTCATGATAGTCTCTCCTTCACTCCCTCCCTCCACCCTGCTTCCCCTCTTTCTCGCAAATCGTCTCATCTCCCTTGTTCTCTCTAAACATCTCTCTCCCTCTCGATCTCTGCAGATCGCCGAGTTGTACAAGAAGCAGCAGCAGATTCAGAATCAGGGGGATAAAGCTGACCCAGAGGACTACTACTGATCGTCTGTAGTCATCAGCAGGGAATAATAAATAATTGAATTTTAAGTCTTGTAATTGTAAATAGCTTCTTTCTTTCTTTGTGTACTGTTGAATGAAAATAAAGGCACTTGCCAGTTTTAAGCGTCCTGTGTACGTTATTGATTTGTTGAGGCTGCTCCTTTTTTACTTACTTTGATTTCCTTTTGAGAGTCAAAATTGCGTTAACATCTTGCCACATGCGATGCACATAAATTCCTAAAACCTGCATCGATTCAGCAGTTACAGCATACCTGCCGGTATCAGATTCCTATCAGAAATTCACTCTGCACAGCTGCCAAGTAAACCCAGAAAAGTAAGGTTTGCATGCAAATATTTTTTTAGACTGTCCTTATTTCTCCTCAAAAAGGCAACAGCAAAGTGTGTGGTAATAATAGTACGAGCCAAAGAGATTGCCAACTGCCTAAAATGTTATTAGTAGCTGACGATGCCGGAGCTGACAGTTGCTCAAACAGCAGGACAAAAGCGAAGCACTCACAGCTTGCATTAGATGATGGAAATCCACTAACTGTCCAGCATGAATCAATCACAGATGTGTGGAAGGAGAGTCGCAGCGGTTTGAGCGCCAAGGATGGGTGATTATGACGTGGAGAAAGAGGATTGTGAGTTTTCTGCACAGTGATTCCATGTGCGAGGCAGCGAGTGCTCGCGGAGATTGAACTACTTTGGTATTTGTGAGCTGTGAGCACCTCAGAATCTATTTTAATGCTAAACAGACTGAATGAGCGGGAAATATTTTGACATTGACAGACGCTCACTGCTTGAGAGATATGTTTTGCGAGTCACACATCACGCAAGGGCAACAGAGCTGCAATAAGAACGGAGGGGGAAAACTGTTGAACTGCAAATAAGCTCTTGTATCTGCAAGCATGTTGGCAGCAGTGCTTACTGACTAAGCCACAATATTGGCTCTAGGGGTGGTAATGTCAATCCACCATAAACTCCCATTCAACAGTCATCTCAGGGCATTTTCCATTGTAAGGAAAAGGTAAAGAAAGATACTCGATGATCCCCTGTGAGCTACGACATCGTCCGCGGGCGGGGAAATATAAACTGCATATCCTGGTGCATTTTATGTGTTCGATATGACTGCTTCCTGTTAAAATGGAGTTTTTCCTTCCCACTGTCATCAAGTGCTCGTTTTGGTTTCTGATATGATTGTAGGGTCTTTACAATAACAAGCACCTTGACTGCTGTGTTATTTGACGCAATATAAATAAAACTGGATTTAATTAACAATTTCTAGTCTATGAAAATCAGAAATTCAGTCATTCAAATTATTTTAGAGTTAAGGTTTTTTCGCTGGACACTGTAAAAATGTCCAGTTCTGAAAAGTATGTTTGTTTATGTGCTGAATACTTAGAGCTTTGTTTTAACATGCAGTGCAAAAACTCAAAATCTTACCAAGTATATTTGTCTTATTTCTAGTCAAAATGATCTCATTACACTTAAAATAAGACACAATCAGCTACTGAGCAACATTTCAGTAAGGTATAGAAACATGTTTCAAGACAGTGAATCTTGAAACTAGAGAAAAATTAGAGAATTTTCACTTGTTCCATTGGCAGATTTATTTCACTTAATATAAGATATTTTACCTTGAAACAAGAAAAAAAATCTGCCAATGGAACAAGTGAAAATTCATTTTCATATTTGGTAAGATTTTGAGTTTATGCAGTGAATTACTGCATCAGTGTGACGTGGCATGTAGGTGATCAGCTTGTGGCTCTGCTCAGATGTTATTAAATCCCAGGTTGCTTTGATGGCGGCCTTCAAGTCTTCTCTGTTTATGCCTCGTTTGTTTCTCATCTTCATCTTCAGGCGACTTGGTTAGCCAATATTAACGTATTATTAATATAGAGTGCAAGCTATTGGATGGTAGTTTTGGCACTCTGGGCAGCTCCCCATAAGGCTTTTCAGCAGATGGAAGCATGAAGTGTTATAATATGTTTTGTTAGACAGTTGCGTTGACATAGCCCACCAGCACCACCACATGCCATAGTGCCCCGAATAACAACAGATTGCCGGAATTTCTCACTAGACTTCAAACACCTTGGATCCAGTGCCTCATCAGTCTTCCTCCAGACACCAGGGCCTTGTTTTCCATAACACAAAGTATATTTTTATCTGGAAAGAGGACTCTGGACCACTGAGCAACAGTCCAGTTCTTTCCCTCCTTATCCCAGATAAAACTTCTGACATTGTCTGTTGTTCAGCAGGGGCTTTAGATTAGGAAAGCGACAGTTGGAGCTCCTTTCCTGAAGACTTCTGAGGCTGGTGGCTCTTGATGCACTCACATCAGCCTGAGACCAGCTTTTGACTCCATGTTTCATGACGATCCTCTCAAGCCTGCAGTCGACCCTTTGCTGGTGCAACTTTTCTCTCACTCTTTTTCCTTCTAGTCAACTTTCCACTAATATGCTTCCATACAGCCCTCTGCCACCAGCAAGCCTTTTCACCAGTGCACTTCTGTGGCATACCCTCCTTATGACTGACAGCTCAGCATCACATGATCACAGAGTGTCTTTGTTTTCTAATTCAGATCCATCCTCACTTCTTGTTGGTTTCAAGCCCCAAGATGCAAAAGCCTCACAGTGAGACCTTACTAACCAAAAGGTGACATCGGGATGGCCAGGTTTTATATACAGTGTGATGTACAAAACCAGGCTCAGGGGAAACCGCCATCTGTCTCTGCTTGTTCGGGTGAGCAGAGAAGAAGAGGTGAACAAAGAGAAGAAGAGCATAACAACAAACAATATAATAAACAGGGAGCAGTTTCAGGGGCCATTTGCTTCAGATTACTAAAGGGGACACGAAGTTGATTATATGCAGCAGTGGTATATAAATACAGGCTCACCAGCAGCTTGAGCTTGTAGAAGCATGACTAAAGGATGGTTCAGTTCCAAGAAGGAAAGTTTGAAGGTAAATCTAAAAAGTAGAGAGGGCGCTTGTTTTCCAAACCTGGAAACCGATTCCACAGAAGATGGGCCAGATTGCTGGAGGCTCTTCCTCTGAAGTATGCTATGGGAATAATAAGATACTGTGAGGTCTTTAAGATAAGGTGGGGCTTTGCATGTGGTCCTGAATAAAATGCCTCAACAGATTAGGATTGATTGCTATAAAATCTACTACAAGTTAAACTTTTTTGATCACACTAAGAAAAAAAAATCACAATAGCAATATTACTTCAGTATCTAAAAAGCATCAACAGCTTTTCTTGTGTATTTTTAAGCTAATTATACTCAAAGTGCAAAGTGAGATTGCCTCTAACCATCACTGTTCAGTTTTAATCTTCCTAATAAGCATGTCTTATTGGGGTGATTATTGTGTGGGAGGAAGCCAGAGAACATGCAAACTCTACACAAATGTGTCCCAGAGGATTCAAACCCAGACCCTTTGGTGTGTGAGGCAGCTCAAACCTCTGGATCACGCTGCTGCTCAGCCCCCCACAACAAAAAAATCTATTGACTTTACCTGTTTTGTTGCAAATTAAAGCTCTACTGCTGTTGGATGGATTGTTGTGAAATTGGGTTCATTTTCCCTTAATGATGAAGTGTAATCACTTCATTGATAATGCTACTTTTCATCTTGTCTGAATTTGAATTTCCAATGTGTTTTATGACTGAGGGGAAAAAAGTGATTACCCTCAGCTGCACTTTTAATTAGCAAACCTTTCGGTCTGTAATGATGAACATATTAAGTATTATACCAGCCTGCTTACTGGCATGCAGATGCCATCTAGCTAAAGGCACCACTGTGCATCCTCACAGCTTCTAGCATAGACTTGGAAAATTGTGCCAGTTGTGCAGCATCTAACGCAGCATGTGGCACACTATTGTCAGTGTATTTACATGCAGAGTGGTTTATATTTCCCATAGTCGAAAGCTCTTGAGATCGCTATTTGTTATGCTTTCTCTGCATGCAGGTATGCATACTGCACGGCTGGTGGTTTGCCTATTATTTGTGCGTGTGGGCCGTGTCCTGTGTCTGCTGAGGGGGAGTTTGAGAAGGACACCATTGTGGCTGAATAATCATGGAAATACCAAATCCAGATTTGCCTGCCTGTTTTGTCTTCTGTTTATCTGCAGCACATTTTTCCTCCTATTTTATTCAGTCTTCCTTTTTCTCGTGTAAATACTGAAATGTTTTAGTCTAGTTTCTGCTTTCAATGTGTCGTCTCTCCTGCACATGAATATCATCATCACATCTCATCTTCAAGGAAAAAAACAAAAAGTAAGAACAAGGGCTTGCCGGTGTTACTGAAATCTGAATTTCAACCAGCAGTGTTCAGCTGTGCTGTTGCTTTAGAAAGGAGCTTTAAACATCCAGTTTGAGGGAAAAAGTCCCAAATGGGAATCACGCAGGCAGCAGAGCGTGGAATACTGAGAAAGAAAACATGTAATTAATTTAATCCCATATTGTGTGTGCTGTATGATATTGTCCATTGTTGTGGGTAACTGAAGGTTGACGTGGAGAGTGTCTAATTTGTGTCATTGTGTCAGTGGAGAGGAAATGATCAAATCTCCTTGGTTTGCTGTTGGGTCTAAATGCCTGCATGCTGACACTGTTCTGCATTTGTTCCCTTTTTTCTGCATGTCTGAACGAGGCTGTTTTTGTCATCTTTTCATGAACACGTGCATGTGTCCGTGTGTGTGTGTGCGTGCCTGGTTAACTGCCCGTGTATTTGTGTCACTGATGTTTACCGAGGGGGGCAGCTGGCACGCAGCGAACGCCTGCAGGGCATTGCAGCACAGCGGCCTCCATCTCTCCACTGAGGTCTCAGCCCATGTTCAAACAGCTGTGCTGTTAGTTCACATCAAGTCACCCGTTCAGACTGGACCCAGGGGGCAGTTGCTGCAGACCTACCTGCTCCCTGCCTCTGTTGAACTGTTTATCCACATGTTAAGAAGTGACTGGAGGCTCTTGGATGTGAAGCACGATTTGAAAGGAGAAAGGATCTCTAGGCTTGATGCACATGAAAGGCAAGCTGAAGATTGCTCCTGTGTGCTGAAACTGTCCCTGCTGTGTTCCTCTTTAAACTTTTAGGAAGTGTACCCTAAAGCCAGGATTATGGATTACCTCCA